AGGCCAACATGTGAACGAAGATATTGTTCTGAGGGACATGGGGGCTGATGCATATAGCCTCACTTGATGGCACGTAAACTGGGGATAGATCCAAAGCCAGCCTCTTAAGTGTGGTTCCGATTGTGCTGCAGAGATCAATGATCTGTGGTAGCCGAACTAGAGGCGTGCGCTCCAGACCCTGCGGTCCTTGCATTTCCGCTGGTGATGCGAATAAAGAAGTTATGTATCGTGGTATTCGTGCTTGTGCAAACAAATCATCGTTGCGCCCTGATTCCCCGTATTCCAGAGCCTGTGGGTGATATCCAAGGTTGAGCCCGAGAGTTCTCCGGAAGCAAGCATAGCTTTTGCAGCTGTCCAGGTAAAGACAATTTGAGTAGAGATATTTTGAAGCAACCAAGTAAGTACTGTGCGACACTAGAGTTAGTGTGCGCAGTGTCTTGGTAATGGCATTTGACGGCTCGTAAGCAACTGGTTGCTGCCCGTCACGAGTTCCCACTAGCTGATCGAGTACAAGGAGGAAAAGCTCTGGGGGAAGCGATCGAAACACAGGCTGTCCATGCATCCAAGATAGACCATGTGACATGATGTTTGCGGAGATCAATAGCCGACCTTGTCGACGGTCGGAAGGGTGTGGTACACAATTAAAGGCCACAGGGTATATGCATCCGTGATGGCTTACGTCATCAATTTGCGCGGGGGTCGGGCCATGATCTACCCGTATTTCCTAGCCTATCTAGCAGCGTAACGCTACCACTACCGCGTCATTAGACTATGACACTACATATTTGACCAGGAGCATGCCGGTCTACTGTACTCACCAGATGCTCTCAATCTAAGTCGCGGTGTTCTAGCATACCGAAAGCCGTTGTTCCCCCGACTCCGCTCGCCCCTCTTTACGGTACTCCAGAAAGTGACACCATGTTCTTTCATGAAACACCGGACTTGGCGCAGGTGAGAGTGAAAAGTGCCCTCGAGTTAACCACGGGTCCTCCGGCGACAATGTAGCAAAGACCCACTCGCATCGTACGTTTCTATGACTGCTGTATTTCTAAAGGAACGAAGTCATAACCAAAAGAGGAAGGAGATACGACATACCAGTTTCCAGTACGATCATGCTCGCGCGCAGCTTCTATGCTACGCCAGTATGTCTCATTCGATAACAATGTTGTACGGGTCATATCATCCTCTTTAGGACTTATTGATTGAAGCTTTCTGCTGCACGCGAGCTTAGCCATCTGCTCTCTCTTGGCGAGGGCCCTTGGCTTGGTTCCATCAATTGCCAATACCATTACCAATGTCTATACATAGTTTTGAGTTTTTTGGGTAGCTCCTGTTGTCAGATGCTTGAACAGCGGCCCGTCTGCGGGTGACTCAGGATCCGAGGTGGGGAATAGTACAGTAAGGTATAACCTCTTCCTTGGCAGTTCTCCACTGTTAGTCGGGACAACCGAAGCCCCGCGTCTTTACAGGACTTTTTTTTACCAGGACCATATAACCCTTCATTGCGCAAGTCTTTCGGTCGTCCATCAGAAACTCCGTGCAACATCATTTTGAAGATGGAGCTTCCAAAAGCCATAGCAGCTGTTTTACTCCTTGGATCAGCGTACTTCTTCAAGGTACCCGTTGTTGTTCGTTTGCCATACGACGCTAACATCTAGAAGTTCCTATGGAAAGTGCGAACATCATCAGTAGCTACACTACCAGGTCCCTGGTATTCGCATTACACCGACCTTGTCCTTCGTTATCACACGCTCAGAGCTAGACGAATCTTCTACGTACATGAACTCCATCGCCGATATGGAGGAGTTGTACGTATCGCGCCAAACCAAGTTGCCGTTGCAGATGTTGCAGGTGTGTCCCAGATACACAGGATTGGGTCTGGCTTCGTGAAGTCAGCATGGTACGAGAACTTTGTGTCACTTACGGTAGCCGGCATTTTTGCTATGCGTGACCCGGTCATGCACGGTACCCGGAGAAAGTTGTTCTCGCGGGCATTGAGCAATTCGAGCCTTAAAACCAACTGGGAACCTGAGGTCAGGCGAAAGGTCAACCTAGCCGTGCAAAAGATCAAGCAAGACGCTTTAGGTTCACAAAAAGGGGCCGACATCTTCAAGTGGTGGACACTCATGGCAACAGATGTTGTTACACATCTCAGCTTTGGAGAAAGTTTCAACATGATTGAACAAGGAAAGGTACTTCTCCCTGTCCCATTTGTCTCGACCATTATTCTGACGGTGCGAAAGCAAACGCCATATATCGACGCACTCCAGAAAGTAACACTCGATGGATTGTTGCGAAATGAGATTCCCATTCTACGCGCCCTCCTTCGCTGCATACCCCTAAAACAATTGCAAGACGTGTTTAATGCGCAAGACACAGTCTTCACGCAGAGCATGGTGGCTGTTCGGAATATGCGCAATGGCAGTGGAAGCTCCATGAATCTCTTTGGACAGATCATTGCTTGTGCTGAAGATAAAGAGAAAGATTCTCTCACGGAGGAAGATGTCAAGGTCGAAGCTGGAAGCTTCATCATCGCAGGATCGGACACTACTGCTGTCACAATGACCTACCTGACTTGGGCAGTTCTCAAGCAGCCTGATCTGCGAGCCCGACTCGAAGACGAGATTGCCCAGTTAAGCGATGAACTTACCATGGCAGAACTCGAGGGCGCATCCGTGTTGAACAGCATCATCGACGAGACACTGAGGCTCTACTGTGCTGCACCTGGCGCCTTGCCTCGAGTTGTTCCGAAGGGAGGTATGGCCGTCAGTGGCTATCATATCGCCAGTGGCGTGGAAGTCAGCACTCAAGCGTACACAAATCATCGCGATCCTGCAGTATTCCCTGATCCGCTACAGTAAGTTCTCCACTTCTACAACAAATGATGTGATATCTGATTCAATCCAAAGATTTGACGGGCTTCGTTTCTTGAACAAGGCGGCGATGACACCCGCTCAAAAGGCCTCCTTTATGCCATGGGGTGGAGGCTCGAGAACATGCATCGGTCTACACTTGGCGTTGATCGAGATCCGCCTCGCTACTGCTCTCTTCTTCCGAGAGTGCCGCGGAGCTAAAATATCTGAATGCATGCGAGACGAGATGATGGAGCTGGAGAATACTTTCTTAGTTGCTCCGAAGAGTCACTGTTGTTACGTTAGTTTGTGATTTGCTTGAGTTAGAGATGAGGAATTGCACAATTGGTAGATTCTCACATTGAACAAAATTGCCAAAGCCAGGAGTTTGGGAAATAAACGATGCTGTAAAATTACTATTGCAAAACAAAATTGTCAAAGCCAAGAGTTTGGGGAATAACAACTGCAAAATGATAAGGAATAACCAACTGTTACCCGCAAGACCCCTAATCAAAGATGTACTGTCTAGTAGAGGTGGAATGTCTGAACGTGGTCGCTTGGGTGGAGCATGTGCCACTGTTGCAGCAACTGAAGTGCCAACTCACGCTGACCATAACGAATCAGACCGTATCGCAAGACAGTGAAAAGCTTGCGGCCCACTGCTGACTCCACAGAAAGACCAAACTCGGTGTATTCTTTCGAAGCGGCAGCGCGGAACGCCTTCTTCATCAGCTGACCCGGTTCTCGATATGAATCGCCATAGGCACCATCCTCATTCTGTTCATCATACATCCAACCCCAAAAAGGTGCGCGGAGAGCAACAAACTTCGGGGCGAAGGAAGCCATATCCCAGTCCACAATGCCAGTGATCTTCACAGTAGAGGGACCTGTGATCTCGGCAAGGATATTGCGGGGAAACAGGTCTCCGTGGGCAAGATGGAACCGATCTCCAAGCCATTTACGTTCCTCGAGCGCGTTAATCAGTTTCTTCAGCTTCCCCCACAAAACACGGCTATGATGGTCGTGCGCAAAAGTCGCCTCGTATGCAATCCAGCGGTTGCATTGATCAATGAGAAACTCATGTGGCGTCTGCTTTGGCGCAGGCCGGGTCACAGGTTGGGCAAACTGCGGACGCCGCTCAGCCTCTGCCTTTGTCGGAACGTTGAACTGATCAACATGAATGGCAGAGCTACGAAGATCTCGGTTGCTCTCTGAAATGTAACCAGCGACTGGCGACGTGCAGCGTGCAATCTTCTCAGTCATCTTGGTAACCTGCTCCATGGCTGACAACTTCTGCGGCATGTTCAGCCTCTCCCAAAGAGTTTGGAGGCTTTCGCCTGCTAGACGAGTCTGCAAAGCGAACGGCCTACCTACCGCGTTGTCTGTCCTTGGGTCATACTTGATAACCTGCGGCACTGGAATGGAAAGATGTGAGCTGATGACCTGCAGTGTGACGATATCACGAGTGACGTTGTTGTCTGTAGAACCATCCAACTTTCCACTGCTGTCTAGAGGCAACCGTAGTGCGAAGGTCCGCAGCGGCTCACGGGTGAAAAGCTTCGTCAGCTTGTTGCCAACGCTCATATTACAATCATTGCGCGACTTGGGGGGGTGGAGAGTGACACCAACAACAACGTTGAATGAACCCTGGCCAATCATCTCGAGTGTAGGTTCTCGCTCGGTCTCGACACCTGGGAACTTGTCAGCAATGAGCTGCAAGACCTGCAGCTTCAGCGTCAAAGCCTTCTCGCCTCCATACCGGAAGTCGCCATGTTCATCGAAAATATTGTCGTCGCAGAAATACTCACTGTACAAACCCTTCCCCGCAGACGAGACCGATTCGGCGTTACCAGAACGCGAATCAGTTGTGGCTGCAGCATTGCTAGTCGAGACAGGTGGCATGTTGCTCATAGAAATCGAGACAAGCGAAGGGCGGCGAGCTGTGGGTGAGCCGCGTGCAAGGGCCGGGAAAAAAGTCATGACAATATTTGACTTGGAAGCCATGTTGAGAGTGAGATCAGGGTTGTTGGTTCTGTCAGATACCTGTCTGTCAGAAGCAGTTGTGGTCTGCTGAAAGGAAGATTAACCACGGGGGCTTTTTAAGCTCCTTGAAAGGTATCACTGTATAGTGAATGATAGCTTTTGTGCATATACAGTTGATACTGTATTCTCACAATGTCAATTAACATCGAGATTCGGGATTGTGCTTGCTCTGAACAATGTTTGACCCTCCTGGAATCAGATACAGATCATCAACTGGACACCAAAATCCGGCCATGTCTCTCGAACAGTAACGCTGTGGGGTAAGAGTGAAAAATCTCGGTAGATTTCTCGTCAAAATCATTTAATCGATTGTCCTTCAGTTTGGTGGGCCAAGGATGGGTACAGTAAGCAAGGCTGTGTGTACACTTTCACAATGAAGTATCCCGAATGAGCTATGTTCAATTTCTAAGGCAAATAGCCTGAGCAATCCAAGAAATCCAAGATATCATAAGGTGTAAGGGAGAAAACCAATGGAATTACTGTTACAGGTCATGTTCTGAACAACAGAAAGTATGTGTATTGAATACTCAAAGGTCATATTACCAGGTAGTCTGTGGTTTTTCTAGTGGACTCATTCACATGGGTTTTTCGCATTCTCAACAGATAGCATAATACTCTGACATTAGAAACAAGATATGGCTGAGGAGATGGGACAATAATTATTTAGATAAATAAAGCAACAATGAATCCGTAGAGAACTTTAATCCTCATAACCAGCTCTGTACTGAGCAATAGCCATCCGTGCCTTCTCAACTTCATATTCTGATACATTGTCGTATTCGATACCATCTTCAGGGTGCAGCTCGCGATAGTGTACAATGATGCTTGTCGCCTCGCTCATCGGCCAGGGCCCAAAAATGCCATCGTGCAGGATAACAAACATACGCCGGGCGAGGATTGCTTCCATAGAGAAGGCGTACATCTTATGCTTCTCGGAAGTATTGGCGTCAAAGGTCTGCTTGATCACTTGCGCGTCCCTGTTGTTTGGCTTCACACTAAGGCAGAAGACTTCTTCATCGCCAGCGGCCTGCTCTGTTATGTTGTCTGGCAACCACGACCAAAATGGCGCAGGATATGCCATAAATTCGGGAGCGATGACAGCAAAGTCCCAGTCGATGACAGCTGTTATGTTGACCTCGGTATCACTACGGATCTCAGCCAGTAGGTTGTAAGGCTCTAGATCGCGGTGCACGAGCACACAAGGTCCATCAAGGATGCCATGCTTCTCTAGAGATTTAGCTATAATCTCGAAAGCGTCCCACACGTCTTCAAAACAGAAGCCCTGTTTAGCCGTCTGATATGCGCGCCAATGGTTGATGCACTCCAGTAGAAACTTAAGGGGCTTACCAGTGGTTGCTCGTCCAGGTGTAGGCTGATTGCTGTAAGCGAGCTTATGGAACTTGTCAATGAGAATCGGTAGATTTGGCGCGCACGACAAGTTATCGGATGAGATGTCTCCTGCCGGCCCTTGAATCGAAGCGATGATGGAAGGGAGATTCGCAACTTGCTTAACCACGGACTTCTTCTGCTCGAGATTCAGCCGATTCCAGAGCTCGAATTGTAGGTTCTTTCCCGGGAGACGCTTCTGCACCATGTATGGTCGTCCGAACACGTTGTCAGTAGTAAGATCGTAGCTCACAACTTCAGGTGTCGGTAGCGACAGGCAGGATTTGACAGTGTTCAATATCGCTACCCCTTGTTTCATATCATCGGCCAGGCTGCCAATTGAGTCATCTCCTGTGGCCTCCGTTCGAGGTATTCGTATAATGTACGATGTGGAATCGATGGTGGCGGTCTTCCGGCGAGCACTGAGGCAGGATTTCAACCACGCCAGAGTATACTTTGGCAATTTCGATGATATGGTGACACCAACGACCCGGTTGTAGGTGCCTCCTTTCATCTGTGTAATGACAACATCGGATTGTTGCTTCTGGAAAAGCTTTGATGCCTGTTCACGCACTTTGTGCTGGAAAGTTTCGAACGGCTCCTCTCCGTTGAGTATCGTTGGGCATTCAGAAGCTGCATCATCGCCACCATCATCATCATCATCATCATCATCTGTATCCTCATTCTTCTCATATCCTTCTCCATTTTCGTCTTGTTCGGTGGCATTGGCCACTTCCTGTTCGTGTATATCCTTTATAATTGTATCCTTGGGAAAATCAGACACATGGGGCGATGCGTCTTTGTTGTTTGCAAGACCGACTGTTGTAGAAATGTGAAATGTTGACATTTTGCTGAAATTTGGGTAGAGTGATGGTGGTGGGGAGAAAGCGTGAGAGTTGAAAACGAGTTCTTACAAAGAGAACAAAGCGGATTGTGAGACCCAAGCTCTTTGTTTGTGCGGTATGAGCACCCTGGCACACCGCAGCCACACAGCAACAACAACTCATGTAAACTCACTGTATAACGAACAGTGTAGAAGAACGTAACGCGTGCCCTACCTAACATGCGTCCAATCACTAGCCACAATGTCTCTACCCCTTAGATATATACTTTTCCTTCTTTCTATTCTAAAGGCTCTCATACTAAACAACACACTCAATTCGGGATCTACGCAACTCGGAACACACTTACACGATGCCTAAAGCACGAACTGGAACCACACATCATTGCCCTGGCTTGGGAGGCTGGGTTGGTGATATCAGTCCTGGTGGCTGTTACAAGGTCAAGTTAAGCACAAAAGACGGTAAGATCTCCTGTTGCGGGAAGCATTCGATGCCTTGCCGTAATGGTTGTGAAGACTGGTTTCATCTGAAGAACCAAGATGGGTGCCAAGCGTGCGAAGCTCGATGGAGAGCAGAAGCGCGACAGAACCAGCAAGCACGTGAAGCGCAGAGGGCCTCAGAACAGGAGAACGCTGATGCCGATTTCTGGAACCCAGGTAAGGACCGGAAGAAACCAAAGAAGCCTTAGACCTTGAGACGCTAAGGGGATTTCTAGAAGCCGAAGATCTAGATTTGAGGTTGTAGAAATCTTAGAGATTCACGACGGGAATTCCTAGAAGCCAAAGATGTATATCGGAGGTTGAGGAATGGATATGAGTAACTAGAGATTAGTCCTATAGAAGAACATGCTACACGTGGTGTTTTGAGTGATCAACTTCTTTCTTTGCTAAATTGTAGCGCCATCTGAAGAAGTGCCAGTAGATTCATTTTTTCCAGGATGTGCATGTGACCATCGGGGATAAGTGGCTCAAATATCTGAAAATCGAGTAGCTGTGAGCGAGGCATCACAGCTCTAGGGCTAACTTTTGGATGACTGGGGCACCCGGGTGTCATAAAATACTGGACATAGCATTGTAAAAAAGACACTGTAGTCGCCAGACACGTCTATTCACTGTCCTGTATTTTATAACACCTGGGTAGTGGCAGCAAGCGAGAAAGCTAGCACACCATGCCGGAAGTTGACAAGCATATGCAGAAGTCAGCACGCGAGACGGTTTCTAGCACTCCAACCGAAGTCGGCAAGCGCAGAAAGTCGTCTCCAGCTCGCACTCGTTGGTGGACTACTTTCACCCCTTTATAAAATCAACGGGAAGAGATACTGAGTTCTATGAAAATTATAGTTTTTTTGCGGGCTCTTTCACGCGATACCTAAGATCAGAACTAATTGTGTCATTGTCGCAGAAATATATATATTCTTTAGCCGGAACGCTCAGAGATTAGTCTTTTTGCGTTTCGACAGTCATGAATTCACTAAAAAATTACTATTTATCTAAGAAATTATTTACTTTTGGTTACTTTTGACTACTTTTACTCCTTTATTAAATCGACGGGAAAAGATACAGAGTTCTCTAAAGGGGCATCTATTTTTATAGGCTTTTTCTTGATATGGCTGAACTTTGAACCAATCATCTTATAATTTAACGTACCTCACGGGCGAGTGGGCCACACGGGCGAGTGGGCCACTCCGCTAAGACCCCACCAAAACATACTGTTACCTACAGTACTTTCACAATGAGCCAACAACAAAACAATCTACCAGCTTTAAAAGAGGCTCGATTACAGCTTGCTCTCAAGGCTATCGAACGCGACGCGACGCTGTCGCAGAGACGCGCTGCAGCTATCTACAACGTATCTCGAGTAACTCTTGGGCGCCGACGCGCTGGAATACCTCTTCGGAGCGATTGTACGCCTAACTCAATGAACCTCCTTAAGACAGAGGAGGATGTAATTGTCCAGCATATCCTTGACCTCGACGCGCGAGGATTTCCGCCCCGACTTGCTGCTGTGCAGGATATGGCTAATTCTTTGTTGGCTGAGCGCCACCGCGACCCTGTTGGTCAGAACTGGGCTGCAACCTTCGTCAAACGTCGCCCTGAGCTTAAGGTCAAATTCAATCGCAAGTATGACTACAAGCGAGCCCTCTGTGAGGATCCTGAGGTTATACAAGGCTGGTTCCGACTTGTGGAGAACACAAAGGCCAAGTACGGTATCCTTGATGAGGACACCCACAACTTTGACGAGTCTGGCTTCATGATGGGCATGATATCAACTGGAGCAGTAGTCACAGGCTCTGAGCGTCGAGGACGACCAAAGAGCGTTCAGCAGGGCAATCGCGAGTGGGCTACAGTGATCCAGGGTATCAACGCGACTGGGTGGGCAATCCCACCTTTTATCATCTTCAAAGGCAAGAACCACCTCTCTGCCTGGTACAAGGAAGATAACCTACCTCGCGACTGGGTTATTGCAGTCTCTGAGAACGGCTGGACAACAAACAAGCTTGGTCTAGAGTGGTTAAAGCACTTTGACGCTCACACAAAGAAGAGGACTGTAGGAAACTATCGTCTGCTTATTATCGACGGCCACGAGAGCCACGACTCGCTCGATTTCCAGCAGTACTGCAAGGATCACAACATTATTACTCTCTGCATGCCTCCTCACTCGTCGCACCTACTACAGCCTCTTGATGTGGGGTGTTTCTCGCCTTTGAAGACAGCGTATGGCCGCCAAGCCGAGGATCTAATGCGCAACAAGATCACCCATATCACTAAACTAGAGTTCCTACCGTGCTTTAAAGGCGCTTTTGACGCTGCGATTACAAAGGCCAATATACAAGGAAGCTTTCGAGGCGCTGGCTTAGTCCCATTTAATCCAGAGGCTGTGATATCGACGCTTGACGTGCGGCTGCGCACTCCACTGCTACCTACCGTCGAGGACGGTCCCTGGCAGTCGCAAACTCCAAGCAATACCCTAGAACTTGGGTCGCAATCAAAGCTGATTCAAGAGAGGATTCGAAGACATGTAGATAGCTCACCTACGTATATGGTTGAGGCGATCAAAAGCCTGTCAAAAGGTGCAGAGATGATAGCGCATTCTCTGGTGTTAATGACCAAGCGCAACGCTGAGCTCCAAGCCGCCAACGAGGCCTCAAGTAAGCGTAGATCATATAAAAGGAAGCGCTTACAGCAGCAAGGGACCTTAACAATTGATGAGGGCGTGCGACTGACGACTCTTAAGGAGTTTGGGGCATGTAGTGATAGGAAGAAGGCGAAGAAGAGAGTGCGCGTTGAGGCAGGCGAGCCTAGCCAACGACGCTGTGGACGCTGCGGCGAGGCAGGACATAATATGCGCACATGTAGGCAAGAAGCAGCGATAGATTCTGAGTAGAATAGCCTATTACGATTTCTATTTACTATCTTTGACGGTGCTATATAGTCGTGTACAGTCGTGGTTTTAATGGGGTCTTAGCGCAGGTGGCCCACTCGCCCGTGTGGCCCACTCGCCCGTTAGGTACGTTACTTAAAAATAACTATTTATCTAAGAAAATATCTACTTCTATCATACGGAGAGTCATTTATCTCCACGCCTAAAAGTCGCCTAATCACAAAAATTTAGGACGTATCTATTCTATGATAGAAGAACTATTTGAAACCAAAAAAATCGATTTCCGTTGTGTGGTGCAGAAGTTGCAGAGGTCGTGTTTTCTATTATTGCTAAAGTAGATCAAATAGACTCGCGGCCTCCAGTTGACACTTCCTGATTCGGCCTTAGCGTGATATTTACCCATGGAAGTTCACAAGTATAAGAGCATACTGTCCCTCAGCGTAGAAAGATTCATCATCTAGCACTCAGAGCAATATTTCTCACAAAGATCCATTGCAGCAAACTTGATTGCAACATTTCTCATTTTTCTTCGCTTTGTCGAACAACTCGCGGTGTTTATCAAGCCCCGCACCTATCACTCTTAGCCAATCACCACTAGCCTCAGCCAAACAGCAAGCCCCTTACGTCATAGACCAACGCGAATAAAGCTACAATGGTCACTACACGTCCATCTGTCCGCATTCAACGCGTCACTGGTCGCTCTGTTCCTCGCAACCAGATCTCAGAGGAAGCTCGTAGAGTTCACGAGCAACGTATAAGAAGGTTGCGCTGTACCGAAGTCCTGGGCCCAATTCCTTCGGCCCGCCAGTTATCTGGTCCACCAACAGTTTTGACACCTGCTGCCAATTTTCAACTCAATCCGGTGAACCAACACGCTGTCCGAAACTTGCTCTTGCTTAAAACTATCATACATCGAAAGCTTTCAGAGCAGGCCGCAGCCACGACCCCACGTGCCGTTGGAAATCAAGGACCGGTCTGGTTCAGCCCCCAAGGACTCTGGAACGCCTTCCATTTCGAATCGCACAAGGTTGCTCTGCTCCACAACAGGCAGAATCCAGTGTTCGGACCTCTGGCTCACAAATATCATTACAATGGCAAGATCCTCCCGGTGAGGCGAACCTCTTCTCACATTATTGGGGTATCCGTTGCAACTCTTTTCGTCTATCCTCGCGGAAAAGACTTCGCTGGGCAGACGGAGGCTTTTCTTATCAGGAGGGCATACTTGCACGTACCCCTTCCAAGGACTGTTTGTGGGCAGAAAGTGAACGCCTGGATCCCCGCAGAGCTAAAACCGGTAGATATGAAGCGTGGTGCGATCGAGTCTTTCTTCAAGCGTCCTGAGGCAAAGAAGCCCAAGTATGAAGTTGGCTCAGACAAATCAACGCATTCTTCTTATCCTTTCGCCATCCCGCATCTGCCCGCTACATTTGCGGAGCAGCTAGGGTTTGCTCCTGCTCAAGAGGGCAAACCCATGAACGATCAGCTAGATTTGGATCTTATGTACTACCAGCCCTACATACCTTCTTCTATCGCTCCTGGTCTCTTTGGCTTTCTCAGGCAAGAGCTTCCTTTCTATCGCGTACAATACAACATCACTCGCGGTGGTGTACAAACTTTGATCAACACCCCACGATTTACTACCGTTTTTGGAGTCGATGACACGAGCTGCTTCACATCAGATGGCTCAATTATTGACGCCAAAACTGGCAAGCCAGTTGAAAAAAGTCGATACAAGTGCACACCTAGGCCTATTCCTCAGTGCTTGGATGAGCTAAGGAAATTGACTGAGGGCACTACCGGCGAGACGTTCAACTTCTGCCTTGTCAACTATTACGCAGATGGCAAAGACAGTATCTCGTACCACTCGGATGATGAACGCTTCCTCGGCCCCAACCCAGCAATTGCATCCTTTAGTCTAGGTGCGAAACGCGACTTTCTCATGAAGCACAAGCCCACAGCTCCCAAAGAAGGTGTTGTGGCTGAAGAGCCCAGGAGTATCAAGCTGCCCTTGGGCTCTGGAGACATGGTACTGATGCGCGGAACGACGCAGGCCAATTGGCTGCATAGCCTACCGAAGCGCGCTGGACCGGAGGCAGAAAAGGGTAGAATCAACATTACGTTTAGGAAAGCGATGGTGAAGGGTGGAACGGAAAACTACTATCAGTACAATGTTGGCATGGGAGGGGTTCATCGATGGGACGCCAAAGCCGGGAAGATGGTACCTTCCGCTGTAGACGCGGAAGCGAACGTGGGTGGTACTTGAGCAAGTAATGGCACCAAACGTGGGGATTGAGGTGCGGGTACCACATGGTAGCTCGCACTATAGATTGTGTAATGGTTTGATATTTGCAAATATTTTTAGGATTTCGTATAAATTTACCTGTCAAATTGATGTAGTATTTTGCGACTTCTGGTGCGAACCAATTTCTGAAGTATGTGTGCTCTTGGGTTATATACACCCATGATGTATAGTTGACAGGCACTTCTCGTGGCGGATTGTGGAGTGGAGGAAGTATGGCGCCACTTGGCCACCTCAACCCCGCTTCACGCAGGGGGCACGACTACTACAAAGTTTGGCGGAGGAAGCCGCCGGGCGCATTTGGAGGGAAATAATGTGAGAATACTATATTGAGAGTGAGTCAGAGGTGCTGCATGCATGAAGCTGTCATGCGGATTGTACTGGAAAATGAGGTGACGACAGAGGGCGACTTGCAGCGCCGCTTGGCGATGATGGCTGAAGGTGGTCGGAGTTAAAGGCCGCCTAATTCTCCCAATGCCAGTACCAGCCTTTGACCTGCGACATCACAACAACCTGTCCTAGCTGCTCAAACCTTTGGGCTCGTAGTCGCCTGGCCTAGCGCATAAGCTCTATGGTATAATTTTGACGTCCCAAGTAGTCGCGTGTTGCTGTCGTAAGGCGGGCGCTTTCTGGGAGACATTTCGCGGTGCGTGCAAGCCAGCGTAAGAAGGTATGAAGTAGCGCAACTCCTAGCAGTCATGAGTCTGCTAACAAAGAACAGTAGACGTAGAATTTTACTCCATCACACCCTAAGCGCAGCTCTCGTGAGCTTCGTCTTCCCCTCACCAAGCTGAAGCGCCGTGTTGACACCCGTTCACCCGCCCACGAAACATCGGACGAATACCTTGCAACATTTGAGCATACGTACGGGCTCTTCGAAAGATCGACTTACTCGCGAAAAATAGAAAACGTGCTGTGTTTACACAGGCCACTGGGGGTAAGAATACAGGGGAATCGCATACAAGACAACATCAGGACAGCAGAGCGATATCAATTCCAGACCTGGGAACCACACACAACGCCTGGTGCCTGGAGATAGCGTCAGCTCCGAAAGATTTAAGACCGCGCCAGGCCGCCATCGCACAATCGCACGCCCTGCGACGTTGAACACTCTTCCTCCCTGCATTTGCGCACGCTAGGAACCTGCTCATTCTCCATCAGACGGTTCTGGACTACCACCAGCCCCAGCTCCGCGTTTCAGGCGACCAACGACGCGTGAGATTCCATCATTGAGCGTGGACGGACTTAGCGCTTAACTCCGTTCTTTCCGTTTTCGATATTACCGTACGAGCACGCAAACATAGCCATGCCGCCAACACCGCCGTCGACGACCTCTTCTAGCGCAGGGCAATCACCGCCAGACCCGCAGTTCCGAGTTGTGCGCAAGCGGAATCGCGTTCCTCTATCATGTGGAGCCTGTAGGCATCGAAAGTAAGCATACAATTCGGACAACGACGAGACGACCATAAGATGCTGACATTTGCAGACTGAAATGCAATCGAGGCCATCCTTGCGACAATTGCACAAAGCGCGGAGATACGGCATCATGTACGTATGCTACTCCGGGCAATCGCAAGAAGAGTACAGCCAGCTCCGGCTCCTCCACATCGCCCGATGACATGCAAAACCGCATTGACCGCCTCGAAGGACTTGTTCTCTCTTTGATGACCAATGGAGCTCAGAGTGCTGGCCCTGCTGCTGCTCAAGCGGCTATTGCAAACAGTCTCAACGGTGCAAGTTCGGACCAGCACTTTGACATGAGCATCAGCGCACCCGACTCAATACCCGAGGAAGACGTAGGTGAAGAAAGCGAGATGGAACATGTCACAAAATCCATCGGGGTGATGAAGGTGCACAACAACCACACTGTATTTGCATCAGAAGCTCACTGGTACGCCATTTTGGGAGAACTTTCAGAAGTTAAGAATTACTTTGCAGAGCACAAGAAGCAATACGAAGAGCAGCTCAAGCGATACAAGGCGAGCCGTGTCGAGGATCGTCCACCAGGAACAGCATTCCTTATGGGCGGACAGAAGCCTACCTCGAAGGCTGAAATCCTATCACAGTTCCCTCCAAAACCCACAGCCGACCTTCTCGTCTCGCGCTTCTTCAACACGTATGACCCCGGTATTCACATCATTCATGGTCCCTCTTTCCAGAAAGAGTATGACAGGCATTGGTTACAACCAGATGAGACACCCATTGTCTGGCTCGGGACCGTCTTTGCAATGATGTGCATTGCATTGCAGTCATACACTCGAGCCGGTGACGAGCCTCCCGAATACCACAACAAGTCCTGGGAGATGTCAAGAGAATATGGAGATTTGACAGCCCAATGTTTGATAATGGCAGACATTACACAGCCCGTTACAGGCATGATGGAGACGTTGATCCTGCATATTCACGCCGAATATGCACGCAGCAGAGACGCAGAGGTGGGTATCTTGATAAGCACAGGCATCATAGTACGGTTAGCGATGCGAATGGGGTTGCACCGAGATCCCGGACCATATACAGACATGTCTGTATTCCAGGGGGAGATGCGGAGACGTGTGTGGGCAGCAGTGCGTTCAATCGATCTTCTATTCTCAGCTCAGGCAGGGCTACCCCCGATCGTTCGACCACGAGATACTAATACCGAGATTCCACGCAATATCTACGATGACGAGCTTCGTGAAGATATGAAGGTTCTGCCGCCCTCGAGACCCGAGACAGAGGCCACCCCCGCTTTGTTCTTGATCAACCGGACGAGACTGATCTATAAGCTGGGAGAGGCTATTGAGTGCACCGATACCCTGACCTGCTCCTCTTACGAGGAAGTGATGAAGCTCGATGCAGAGGCACGGGAGCTGCACGATAACATCTCGCCACATCTCAAGATGCGAGGGATGGATGAGTCGGCACGCGATCCGTCAACGCTAATCATGCAACGCTTTACGCTAGATCTGCTCTTCTTAAAGATCATATGCGTACTTCACCGAAAGTACCTAGCTTATGCAAGAGTGCAATCACGCTTTGCCTATTCTAGGAAAGCTGTCATTGAAGCTTCAATGATGCTTCTCAAACACCAAGCGACCCTGCACCGGGAATGTCAGGCTGGTGGCCGACTACGGAATGTCAAATGGTTCATCTCTTCGCTCACTACGGTCGACTTCCTGCTCGCCGCAATGATAATATCGTCCGACCTCTGGCACACCACTAGGGACTCTTCAAATCGCTCTCCACCGCCAGCAGACGCGCTTATGTGGAGTTCAGATCGGCGTGATGAGATGTTTGAAGCTATAGAGATAGCGGTAGGGATCTGGGATGGTCTCAAGGATCATTCAATGGAAGCATACAAAGCCCACATGACTCTCAGCGTTATGTTGGAACAACTGAAGAAGCATCGATCAACAAAGCAGGCACCGAACGGGTTCCAAGCAGCTTCTTCAGCTTACCCAACGATGGTGCCAATGGAAGATGCTAGTGTCGCACCAGAACACTCGGCAGCAATGACACTGGGGTTATTGAGCACAGGTGGTATGACACCAAATGCGAATATGTTCGATCAGCGATACCCAGCCGGAATGGCGAATTTGTTGAACGACCCGGCACCTCAGTCATCAACAGGATTGACGCCACAGTACAATCAGCCGACAAATGGACCTGTAGGACCGGAGAACACGCCGAGCCCGTTCTCAAATTTGTTTGGAGCCAATTTCTTCCAGAATTTGGATCTTCCGCCAACAGACAACATCAACTGGGTATGTTGAACTAACATTTGACTCGTTATTCCTATACTAATGCTAGACAGGATGCATGGGACTCGTACATCCAAGGCCCAGGCATGGAAGCGACGAGCAACTTCTTTCCAATGGACATTGGTAGTATGCCAATGCAGACGGATCAAAATGGGCTGCAACCGGGACATGCACCTGTTCAACAGGCCGCCAATGGAGGTCGGACAAGTATGTTTGGGCATGATGTCTACATGGGCGTAAGTACCTACCATCACACATCCAAGCTTTATTCTGATCGCTGACAGCAACAAGGCTGATCCGAAGACGAGTTCTGGTGAGGGCTATGCCATTGGGTTTATATCGCCGAAGCAGTCCAACTAGATGAACGCAAAGATGTTTGTATATTGCTTGATGAATGATCTGGTAATGAGCACACGAGTAGTTAGGTTAATTTACTCGATTTTGGGTTGGTGTTCGCCTGGGGGCCAAAAGTAAGATAGTTCTCGCTAGAGCACATTCAGCTGATCAATCTTCAAAGGGGAAGTACAAGCGGATTGGAGGAGGCGCAGCAAAATTCTGTGCCCCGCGATGATAGCATCAATCAACTCAGCTCAGCCCTTGCGTTATGTTCCTTCCACATGATCCTCTTGCATGACCAGCCGCACTTGATCTTTCTTCTGTGTCCAGCTTTGTAACCTCTTTCTTCGAGTAGTTCCTTGCCTCGGCGTCATCTCTGTATCCCAATATAGAAACGACAAGGCAAGTAGCTTGCTTTGTCCCCTTGCCGCGCATCTCTGCCCCACTTCAACCTCTGGACACTGGATTCTGGAATCTGTTTATAACGTCACCGCAATCACGACTTGTGTCTACGCGCCCAGGCTTTTCACTGTCGAACGGCGCGCATTTTTAGCTTGCGCAACCTCGGCCCTCGCCACGAACTTGTAACCGACTATTTCTCTTGTTTTATCTCTTCTCACGTAATCCCTCTCTTTTATCGCTCTCCTTCGGACTCGCTTGCTGCTGCATAAGGCTGAGCCAAGGCCCTCACCTCACCTCACTTCTCTTCTCTTCTACTTCTTATACTAAACTCACCTTTTCCCTTCCAACCCATTCCGAGGTCCATCGTCTCAAAAAGTTCACCATGCCGTCAACGCCCCCCATCTCCCCAGAACCAACCACCGACCCTATATCCCCCGTCTCCCGTAGCGGTACATCGTTTGCGCACAAGACTTCGCCCGCTGTGACCACACAGACACCTCTCATCGATACGAGTACGCCGGCTATCAACGATGCGCCCGTGGAATTGGATGGCGGCGCGATTACGCCTGAGGAGCTGAGAAGGCGGACGACGGAGGAAGGTTTGGGTGGTGTAAGGGGATCGATGCGTGGGCCTGATGAGGGAGATATTGATGCAGAGTTTCTTGGGGGAGGGGGAAATGCGGGAAGGGAGGCTAGGGAGGTATGTCATCCTTTTCATTTGAGTGGTGGCAAGGTGTTGCGGAGAAATAGAAGGGGAGAGAGAGTGTGGTGGTTGTGGGATTCTGGGTTTCGAACAACAGCTGACGATATGGTTGTAGCGACGTGCTGCTATGTTGGCTTCGCGGTCGAAAGATCCGAGCGTCATTGTTGATGTGCCGAGGGATCCTACAGCAGAAGAGGTCGAGGCTGCAAGGAAAGCGGATGCGTTGCTGCCTGCGGGTATGCGGGGGAAGATAAGTTGAACTGGTATGAGACTAAGAGAGGCCGCAGGACGAGTAATATGTATAATGCGGGGCGATTTGATGGGAGTTTGGATACACGAAGAAATGACCGAAGTTATTGTGTATGATGAGCGGGCATAAGCAGCATGAGGAATTGCGAAGGTAATGTTAGGATACTTTGAATGAAGAGCTGACGGATGAGATGGACCAAAACAAGCTCTTCATACTCATGTTTCCTTTGCATAACTCCGACGATTCTACGCATTTCACAGTAAGGAAAGTAGAGGCTCATCACGTGCACACATTGTGGGCTGCATATATAAATCCCCCGTCTCTGCCTCTCTTTCTTTCCTCCATCTTCATTGCAAAAAACAAAAGTTTTCCAATTTTCAAAAATCTACTGACTCAGTTTGCATGTCTTTTTCTTTCTGCCTCTTTCGTCCTCAATAAAATAGATACATGATGGGATTGACGTTTTGTTTCCCTCTTTCCTGATATCTCAAAACATAGTCGTGTCCCTGGAATGTTGCACCCCTCCAAAAACTAGTTTGAAACAAATGACCTGCAAGATCTTTCGAAAACAATATTTCATGGAAGCATGGAGCTGTCCGGCGTACTACGCGTCAGAAATACTGAGGGATTAAGCGATATTCAGTGTCTGATATTCTTCTACAATACTTTATTCCACAAAAGCAGCCCGTCGGTACCTACATGGTTTCCTTCCAAAACGACACTAAGATCCGGATGTATGCTGTGTTCTGCATTCTCAAAACACACATGAAAATAATTCCGAAGAATGGTACAAAAGCTTACCGTCGCAGAGGAGCGACTCTTCTTATAATTCCTAAACATCTAAAATAGATTGTCGATGTTGGTATGTGTTTTCCGCTCTCTTCCTAGAAATAAAAGCTCGCTAGCTGGGCCTTCTGGTCTAGTTGACTGGCTCTCTGTAAATCGATGTGGACATTGAACTATGTCCTGCTCCTCTCTTTGCCTGGCAAAAAATCCCGAATGTGACATTGTAATGGTTCTTCGTTGTCTCTCTGCTGCTGAACCTTCACCTATCACCTTCCATGTTCTTTTTTCTTTGCTTCTCCGGTATTTCTAAAAAGAAGGACCATACCTAGCCTATGGGTGTGTGGATGGATGGGATTAAAAAAGATTGTACACCGGCACTTTTAAATAAAAGACCGTTCCATGTATGTTATGGCTCTTCTCCTACTGCAAGCAATATCCTAAACGAGCTCTCCGAGTACGTATGTTTCCGCAACTAGGCTGGGGAGAATTTCCAAACGTGGTCTTAGCGCGGCTGTTGGGATATATAAACTCCCTGTTGGTTGGCTTTGCACTAAGTGCGTAAAGGGAAATAACGATAACTAGGAATGCATTCTGTTTTGGTGATTGTTCTGATTGATTCTACGAACATAGGTGCTACGAAGGTATACCTAAGTTCAGCGCAAGTTGGGCTGAAGTGTTGAGCATCCGACGTCCCTACCGATACTCACGATCCGACACTCCCCCTTCTACTTCTCTCATCTTTATCAATGCAGACTTTCTATAGTTACCTGTATTTCAAGATGGAACCGTATACGATCATGGTGGTGACGTTTCCCCTTGCTTTAAAACAACTATCGAACATTGGATGTGTTCCTCTCGTTCTTGGCACATAAAAAGACACGCAGTCGGAGCATGTTTTCTGGCGCATCTAGAGAGTGGTATAAAACATTCGGGCTTCTAACTCTTCAAATTTTTGATTCGTAGCTTCCCTCTTTTTTTGAAAAAATCCTGATCAGGAGCCTAAATGGTGCTCTTCGACTGTTATAAAATAACCCCTTTCCAGTATTATGTTTCTCCCTTTCCTAGGATTAAAATCAGCCCTGCTCAGACCCGTGTCGCCAAGGGTATCTCAGATCTACTACAAAAACTCTGTCTTTCGCTTCTTCCACTCCTGCATCCTGATCTCCCTTCTTTTGACCTAAAAGCAATCCGCGAGCATTAATGGCGCTGCTCCTCTGCTTTAAATGCGATTATTCCAATTCTATGTTTTCTCTCCGGGAACTTTGCGATTCAAAATCAGACACTTCTAGTGTATGGTCTGCTGCCCTCCCTGCGGTGAGATATATAAACTATTCCTCCCCCGCGTTCCAGACTCCTATGACATAAAACTTCTTGTTCTTCTAAAAAAAGCAAACGATTAATTAACATGGTGTTGTGCACTGTTCTAAAATGCAAAGATTTCGATCCGATGTTCTGCCTTTTTCTGAGACTATAAGATCTTGAATTGAAAGGCTTGCTGCCAAATGTCTCTCTACCTTTTTAAGAACGGGTATGAAAACCAGACTAGCCCCCTCTCTTCTAGTCGCTCTACTACCTTTTTCTTATCTAAAATAGTTCTGGCGAGACGACATGTGTAGTGTACTACATCGAAATAAAACATGTCGACTGGAGTTGAATTTCTCTCTCTCGCTTCTGAGAATATAAATTAAAAAACGGAATGGGTACGGCGAAAGTTTCTCTAAGTTTCTAGAGGATGATTACATGAATCCCCTCCTCTTTTACCTCCTTATTCTTCAATCACAGTACCTGTGTCCTTGTTTCCACACTAGAAAAGCAAAGCCGATAACTGTCACGGTAACCACCGTGGTCCCCTTGACACTCCTGCCTCTGACCCATGCGCTCCTGCTCTTAACCCGTACGCTCCTATCGCAACAGCGCAATGTACTATCCTCGACAGTATGCTACTGCCCCGACATCTGTATGACGTCACACAAGCTTCCTTCCGCTATATATCTTTCTCTGGTGGAACTCTCCACTTCGTTTCTTCACGCAACGTCTTGTATTTACACTTGAGTACTGTACGTAGCCAGACTTGCTATCAGTCAGGTAACTCAGTTCGAACTGACTGAACTGACTGCCAAGACTCAGTTCAGTCAGTCAGTTCTTGAGGCAGCTGGACGTCAGTCCAGTCAGTTCAGAAGCCTCCAGACTGACTGAACTGACTGACGTTAGACTGACGTTAGCTGTTTTTAAAGCAGTATTTTAGAGTTGTGAAAGCCACATTTAGTGCGGCTTCGAAGCCGCGCTAGTCCTAGATATAAAGACACTAATCCTATATAAGTTAAAGCATCTAGCTTTAAGCTAATTAGAGTTTGCGGAAATGCGCTACCCGGTGCGCACCTAGTAAGCCTTTCGCGTCGCGTCGCGTCGCGTCTGCTATACACACGACGCTAGACTACTGTTGCCATAATACTTCTTGGTGTACTTCATGTCTACTCCCTCTAATTCAGGCCTTCGCCGCCTTGTAGAATGCGACAAGCGCAATTCTCCTCTACCATCGCTATCAAACGCGCCTACTGTTGGCGATACTGCGAGCGAGGCCCAGGCTGATGAGCCCTTGGCAGTACAGGCGGACTTCCCCAACGACGGCGACGACGACGACGACGACGACAATTACGACGGGCTTGATTTTAAGCGTGTGCCGTATCTTGAGCGGCGCCAGGTTGAGCGTAATAGTCGCGGTGGGCCAAAAAGCTGGATCTACCGCCACGGCTGGGCCGTCTGGCACCGCAAGTACAAGAAAAACTACTGGCTTTGCCGGTACTGCCATCAACGACGGAAGCAGGAGGCTTGCTACGAGGCTGACAGCACTACAAACGCCGGCCGACACCTCTCAAGCAACAAGCCTGGACACTCACACGGACCTAACGGACCTGTACCAATTGCTAGCCGGGAGGGCAATATTATGGGCGCGCTCGCAAAGTCCCAAGTACATATTATGAGGTCTAAAGGGATAGAAATATCGCAAGAGGTAGCAAACGAGATGGCAGCAAGCTTTTCAACCTCTCGATTTCAGGACGCGCTGAAGGACTGGGTAGTCGCGGACAACCAGAGCCTTCGCGTAATAGAAACGCCGCAGTTTCGAGCCATGATTGCGGCCGTGAGCCCGCTAGCCGAAGCTCTCCTTTGGCGTAGCCACCAAACGCTCCACGATCATATTATTACTGAGTACAATACATACATACCAGCTGTTGCCAACTACCTTCGCGAAGCCCGGTCGCTTATACACGTGTCATTCGACAACTGGACTTCAACTGGTGGGCAGTATGCTTTTACTAGCCTCTGCGTACATTACCTTAACAGCGAGGGCAAGCTAGTTGATCACCTGCTTAGGTTGCCTAAGCTACACGGGGCGCACACTGGCAATAATATTGCCGCTGCAGCAACAACAATACTTCGGCTATTTGGCGTTGACAACGCGAGGGTTGGGTACTTTGTGCTTGACAACGCAAGTAACAATGATACTGCAGTTGAGTCCTTAGCAGAGGAGTTTGGCTTTATCGCAAGCGAGCGGCGGCTGCGGTGCTGCTGCCATATACTCAACCTAAGCGCACAATTAGTAATTTGGGGCAAAGACCGTAGCGCGTACGAGAATGAAGCCGCACACCTTGAGGAAGAGGAGAAGTACATGGATGAGTGGCGCAAATACGGTCCTGTTGGCGTCCTCTTTGACGTGATTGCGTCTATCTGTACGCCTCAAACTCGACAACTACTAGAGCGCCTACAGTGCGAGGAGGCAGAGTCTCTAGGTGTTACACCCCACATCCGGCAGCTTGTGAAGCCTGTTAAGACACGCTGGAATAGCTATTTCAACACGTTTGTCCGTGCAGCTGAGCTACACGGCCCTATCGATGGCTATATTGAGTGTAAACTTGAGGAGCATAGTGCTGCAACAGCAACCTCACGACGCCGGAAGAATCGTGAGCAGCTCCCTGCTGCCCAGCCACGGTTATATATACGCGAAGGGGGTCTAAACGGCAAGGACTGGGCGACAATAACAGAATACATTCGACTCCTTGAGCCATTTGCCGAAGCTACACGGCTACTTGAAGGTCGCGGCCGACACGGCCGACACGGCGCTATATGGGAAGTTCTAGTAACGTTTGAGTGGCTTCTTGACCAGCTTGAGGCTCTCAAAGACCGCCTTAAGGATGTAAATTACGAAGATCTAGATGCGCCTGAAGATCATCTTATTACAAACGTTAACCTTGCGCATTGTAAGCTTGCTGAGTACTACGCAAAATTCGATAACGCGCCTGTCTACTACACTGCTACAATACTACACCCGCACTACAAACACCACCTCTCAGCGCTCTGGAAGGTGCCTGACACCCATGTCACTGCCCGTGACGGTGTCCACTATCGCGACGGCTGGCTTGACAATAACCACCGGGCATTCCTGCGCATGTGGCAGGGGCGGAAGGACTCTGCAGCCACTTCAGCTCACACTGTAACGCCGCCGCGTAAGAAGCCCCGGCTAGGGATTTCAACGTCGCGATCAGCTTTTCTACAGTCGTCAATTGAGCAAAGCACACGGCAGTTAGAGGCAAGCCTTGCTGAGGATGAGTATGAGATATGGAAGCGGCAACCAGCGTTAGCTGAGGAGGATTGGCTGTCTCTTAATCCGCTTCTATACTGGGAGTCAGTTGCTGGGCAGTTCCCTATACTCTCAAAGTTCGCTATTGACGTCCTAACAATACCAGCAGCAGCGGCAGACTGTGAGCGGACTTTCAGCGAGCTTGGCGACATGTTAGGCACCCGGAGACTCCATATGAAGCCAGAGCTTATTTCAGCTTTGCAGAGCTTGAAGAGCTGGAAGAGGCTTGGTATACAGCCAACAACTACCTCAGCTTCTGGGCTAGCGCGCACACTATCAGAGGAAGAAATCTCAAAAGTACAGGAGCATTTATCTCAGTTCGACGTCAGGTAACTCAGTTCAGTCAGTCCAGTCAGTCCGCAGGCCGCGGCGACGTCAGTTCAGTCAGTCAGTTTTAGTTTAATTGAAAAGTCTTGGCAGTCAGTCCAGTCCAGTTCAGTGACCTCAGGACGTCAGTTCAGTCAGTCCAGAGAGCTCCGGACTGACTGAACTGACTGATAGCAACTCTGTACGTAGCACACAAATCAAACTTCTTCATAAGTTCTGAGATTACTGCTCGTTGCCTCTCGTGACAATAACATAGCATGGTCTCTTTCTCTGTTCTAAAACCTTGGGTCAACGCCTCTATGATTTCTCACCTTCACTTTACTCAGCTAGCATTGTACTTCTCTCTTTCTCTTTCTCTATTATGAGATATCCCTTTTCTGGACACTAAAAAAGGCTGCTTAACAATATATGGTGTCATTTACCGCTCTAAAACCCACACAGAGCACGATTATGTACTCTTAGCTCTGTTCTATAGAACACATACACTAAGCTTTCGATGTTGTGTCTTCGCCTGCCTGCTGCCTGGTATACAATCTCCTCTCCTCTTTTTTTCTCCGCCTCCTAGTTGTTATCTCAGAAATTCTTTCTAATTATTCTAGAACTGGATATGTGGTCGCCATGCTTTCTTCCCCCGAAAAAAGCTGTGAAGAAATTTGATATGTTCTCCCTTTACATTCACATTTTAAAATACCAAACAAACCCACCTATGTTGTCCTGCCGCTAAGGAAGACGGCTATATAAACCTCTCCTTCCCTCTATTTTCTAGATTTCTATATCACAGCATCTTCACGTTTTCTCTAAAAATCAGACGAAAATACCAGCAATGGCGTCTTTCTTCGCTCTTAAAAAATTTACCGCTACTGGTATATCTCGGCTTTATATCATGACACTAAATATACTCCCAGTTCTACATGTTCCTTTTCCGGCCCATGGACGGGTATATAATCCCCCCTCCTTCTCTCTATACTTCTACACTCCTATATCCCACTCTTCCTCTTTACTTTAAAAGACATACAATGAGTGCGTCATGGTAGCGGCCTATGTATGAAATTCCCAAAAGCCCTTGTTGTGTTCTCCCCCCTCCCCCCTGTTTTCTTACAAAAAAGAACCAAAAAGTGATAATGTGTCTGTGGAGGACTTTTTCCAACCTAAAAATTCTGCAAGAACCGCCATGAATGACTTGCGCTGTGGAAGATGGACCAAAATCACATAAAAATCACCACAACCCTCTCTATGCCTGAGACGGAGCTGAGATCGCCTCTACAGAAGTACATGTTTCCGTGTGTGGGCAGTATATCAAAAACAATAAGAGGAGGGAATTTATGTGTGAGAAGAGCACGCGTTTCTCCTAAACTATTCTTAAAAAAAGCTGGGCTTGGGATTGATGTGTTATCCCGAGTCTGGGGAATCATCTATATAAACCCCTCCGTCCACCATCTTATTCTTTCTTTCCTCACGTCTTCCTCCCAAAATCTCATCTTTCCAAAAATGTCGGCCGAAAAGTTCATTATGCGCTGTCCACCTCCAGTTCTACACACTTATATAATTCCCTCTGTTTACCAAATTGCTACTGATATCTTCTCTATTTCGAAATCGTGTACCTTGAAACAGCTCTAGCAAAGGCACATGTCGGTTGTCGATTTCAAGCTTCACATAGCTAAATAACACCCTCACCTTCTATTTACTAACCTATTACTTCCTTCCTTCCTTCTTTTATACCTTTATAAAATCCTGTAGTCGGTTTAAAATCCCCAAAATCCATAAAATATGAACTCATGTTCCTCTCCTGCTTCTTCTGAATTCCTCTATAAAACAGCTGGGCAGTTGGTTAAAATACCTAAAACTCCTATAACATGGTCCCATGTCCCTCCTCTGCTTCTTCTTCTTCTTCTTCTTCTTCTTCTTCTTCTAAAAAACCGTAAAGCCGTCTGTCCATGTTCCTTTCCCACCGTCTAAACATCTACCCTTCCCCCTTTAAACAAAATGACAAAACTGTCTGTTCATACGTTCGTTCTCCCAGCACTTCTTTTTCCCCAAAAATATGACAGGTGCGCTAAGATGGGGCGGTCCAAGTGAAATATAAAATCAGTCTCTCGCTAAAACGACTAGTGTAAATCAACATGTGCAATAGCTAAAACCATCCATACTTGATACATGTGTGAGATGGAAAATCTAGTATGACCTTCCTCATGACACCAGTTTGTTCTAAGGACTCAGAGATATACCAAATGAAATGCGCAAAGAGAAGAATATTTCCATCATATCGTATCCATCATGCCTACATGTACATCCACGTAAAAATAAAATTCTAGGGTGTCCAGCCCTCCAGCACTCATCATACATGTATCTTGAATATTACTTTTTCATCCCGTCATGCTCATCGCCACGACATAACCGCGTCTTCAACAACAGGCCTAATGACCTTGCGATTCGCATCCGACTTGTGTGTCCAGACCATCTGTCTCGGAGCCAATTCATCGGCTCTATGCCAAGGAACAAACTCAATGCCTTCGTCGTTGTTCTCGATTGCGTTCTTTACGACGTCGAAGAGCGAGTCGGCTTGAGCCTGGTCGATGCGTACGTCATCTCTGACGACGAGAACGACTTCCCTGATTTTTTCCTTTTGCCCGTCTCGGTAGTACTTTTTGTATTTGTTGAGGGAAACGGAAACGTCGACGCCCGTTTCGGCGGTCCAGGCGGCGTGGATGGCGAACCAGTCTGTGGTGTGTTAGCTTGGGCTGGGATGAGGGAGAGAGGGTGGATGAGACGACGTACCAAAAAGCTCTGCAAACTCCGTCTTGAGAATCTGCTCGTCCATTGAGTATGGGACTGAGGCGAAACCTACGCTGACCGTGGGCATGTCGGGGGAAATTGTGTCGATGATGTCGCCTTTCCAGTCGCGACGTAGCAGGTCGCGTAGGCCAAGGTGGTCAATGTCCCTTTGGGCTTCGCTGAGCTCGTCGTCGAGCTCCTCCATGACGTCTCTTAGATCCTCGTTCCTCCAATTGCTTCGTGCTAAGATGCGCCTCGACGTCTCAATGTCAGTTTTGGTCGTCTTGTCGCTGGTCAAGCCACCAGAGTCAATAGCAATTGCGCTGAGGACGAGCTCAAGCATTTCGTGCGCCAGATGGTATTCTTGGGGCAACTTCTCAAGCTCATCGAGCATCTGCCGCGCGACGAGCGTAGTGCAGCTCGCTACCGTCTCGAAAACACGCGGTTCTGCATCTGGGGCAGTTCCACGATCCTTGTGATGGTCGAAGATGCTCAAGATGTTGGATCCATTCCATTTCCGTAACGGGCTCCCATGGTCAACCAGCACAATGCCCTTGAGCTTTTTACCCAGCGTTTCCGGGTCTTCCGGCAGCTCATCTAGTGTTAGAAGATCTTCATGGCCTGGTGTCATGAGCGAATTGTCCAACGCCAGCGTATTCTCCGGTCGCAGATCCAGCGCATGGGACGGAGTCTGTAGCAAAGCAATTGCCTTGATTGGATGTGATGTGTTCTCGGTCGAGTGCCCCAGGTGGTAGGCCCATGTAAGCGCTGCAGTCATGGAATCCAGGTCGCCGCCCTCGTTGCCCTGAACAATTGTCCACTCAGCCTCTTTGCCGGCCTGCCAATCGATCAAAAACTGCTTCTTTGTGGCGCGGCTCCATTCGCTGAAGTGGCCTACGCCGTGTGTTCTAGCCGGGTTCTTTGTCGCGAGAACTTGCTGTGTGTGACCGTGCTGTGGCAGTGCGATGACGCGGCCAGCGGCCAGAATAGCAGGTACGAGGGCTCGTATCGGTTTCATGGTGTAGTGAGATGTAGTGCGACGGGAAAGGCGGATGGGGAGCGCGAGATTTTGAATACCTACCGTACAAGTCTACTTCTTTCAGGTACACTTGCGACAGGCAGGGGATCCACAAGTTTCAATAGCTGCTACGTCAGAAGCTCCTGCAGGCCCGTCAGGCTCGGCTAGTGGGGAAGCGTTTCAGCCCTATACTTTACGCATGCCCAGAAGCGAGTGGACTGGGGGATTTGGTTGATTTGACCGAAACTTGCTGGCTAGCAAGAAGCGAAGGATAGTAATATCTGGACGCTTTGTTATCCATTATACCATGGAACATAGTGTATGCCGCGATGAGATTGCCGCAATTTCACACGACCCGCGACTGGTTGCCGCTTGTAATATGTATGCTGTTGAGGGCGATGCGTTGTGGCGCATGTCGTGTAGTTGGACCGATAGTGAAAACAAGCGTCTTATTGCATCGGCTGTCAGCACGAAATCTGGGGCTTTCTCTGCCCCGCAGGCCCAGGGCAGGACTGAGGTATGATGCAATGTTTTGGGGATGAGATTGAGCCACTCTTGGGCGCGTTTTCCGGAGCTGGTGGCACTAACCGGCCCGCCCGGATTTGCTCAAGCCGTCGTAACCGGATCTATTGCTATACTACAAGCTTCTAGGCCACACCACATGACGATTGAGTTCAGGAACCTCTCCTATTCCTTGGTAAATAAACAAAAATACAAATCGAATCGCCTGACGACTTTGTTCTATCCACATGCACCTTTGACCTTTTACGTCCAAGTGGAGTGCGCTGCTTACTGACCAGGCACTAAGCCTACGCCGGATCCTTTGCGCGCCTACCTAGCAAGACACTATTTCTTCCCCAACGCCGCGCGCTCGCGATAATCGACGTTATCTGATCTGAGCGATCTGGTTCCATTATTCGGAAGTTTTGGAATAATGGATAATGCTCAAGGCGAACAGGGACGTCCGACGGCCGAGTCGACCACTTCGACTACTACCACATCAGGCCCGCACACCATGACTACCACGACTACTACCACTTCTGGACAGGGCACTACAGTCCGCCACTTTGGGCCCGACTCAACCACCGTCACATCTCCTACTATAACTACGACCAGCCGGCCAACCTCGTACCAGCCCTCCATCGCCGAATTATACGCACAACAGCCCTCGACACCGCAACGAGTACGAAGCTCCTCCATTCGGATACGAAGACCCACCCCTCAACCGAGCGCACACGATGCCCAGCGCGCCTCAGTACCAGATCCAGTCGAAGATGCCAATGAGTCATGGCAAGCTGGCCGACGACGAAGCAATTCCGAGCCGCGCCCACCACCACAGGCCATGTTCGGTGACGATGGCCTCCGACGCGAAGCAACTACATCGCACCCACACATGCAGCCTTTATACGAGGGCATTGCAGTTCCAGGACGCTCTACCCCTTCGCAAGGTCCTAGCAATCCGCGAAGAGGTCTAACTCGGCAGTCTTCAGCTTTTACAATGCGACGGAATTCGCGAACCCCAAATCAGAACATGATGGGCCACAACGTCGTAGACGTGCTAGATGTCATTGGTCAGTAATCTTACGAGCACCCTGCATATGCGTACACGAGACTAACCCCTCGTTTAGATCCTGAAGTATCTGCCTTGACCACACTGAATAACGTTCAAAACTCTCTCTTCCTACCCAACCTGCCATGGCTCTACAATCGTCAACCGACCTACGATCTAGGACAGACTTCATCTGATTCTTCAGATGAAGAGAACACCACTGGTACCCGGAGGCCAAGACGCGACGACCAAAACGAACTCCTCGAAACGGAGCAACCTGGTGACGGCGAGGCGCCAGTGCGTGGACACTTGCCCAGACAGAATACCATCAACTCAACACTATCGACCTTGGACGATGGCCCTGGCCACCGCTACGCCGTACTACCACACGGTGCATCGCTGACCGGATGGACTGACGAAGAAAAGGAGGCTCTGGACGACCATGTGCGCCACCTGCTGCACTCTCGACGCGCAAAATTTAAACGGACCATGAAGGGCTTCGGACGTTACGTGCGTAATCCATTGGGCTTCATCGTCACCCTTTACTTCTTTCTCATCACCTTCTGGGGAGCAGCATGGGTGCTCTTTCTCATCGGTTGGATCTACGTCGGTAATCGCCAAGACTACTTTGTCGAAATCGCGGATCAGATTCTTACCGCCTTGTTTTGTGTTGTCGGCATCACCATGTTTCCCTTCCGTCTTGTTGATACCTACCATATGGCGTTTGTCGCTCACTACGCACACAAAACCTGGAGATTGCGCAAGGAACGAGGGCTGCAAGCCTTGAAGAACCGCAACGAGCTACCAACCATGCCTCAGTCGTCCGCCTGGGAAACCGGCGAATGCGAACGAGAAGGTGTAGAAGCACCCGTCCTTACTGCCGCTGAGCAAACCAAACTCGAATACCACCAAGGCAAGCTCGCAAAGTCGCATACGTTCTACCGGCCGCATGAAACTTATACTCACCATGCCTTCTCCATCCGCCTTCTCATCACCATCATCGTCCTGCTCGACTTCCATTCCATGTTCCAGTGCGCGCTTGGTGGCACAACTTGGGGAATATATTACAAGAACAGGCCCAAGGAAGTTACTGCCATCATCCTGAGTTGCAGTTTAACTTGCAACATCAGCGCCGGTATCATTATTGGCCGCGGTGATAAGCGGAGCCGCAAGAAGCTTGTCGTAGAACAGATTCTGCGCCAAGAAATGACGGAAGAGGCGCTCAAGAAACTTCGCAAGGAACGTGGTATCAAGGCAAAGGGACTCCTGACGAGAAAGCAAAAGTTGCAAATTCAAAAGGAGATGGGTGAGGAGCCCAAGAATCCTCTTGACACGATTCTGCATCGCGGATAGAGAGTTTGCTTGGATTCAGACACGTAGGATACCGAGACTGTTGTTTTCTTTGTTTTATATTATACCCTTTTGGCGCCCCCCTTTTTCTGGGTAGTTGTGCCTGTACGCTGTAATGGTAGCGCAAGATATCGTGATTCACATCTTGCGCTCCTTTTTCCTTGACGACTCATCAACCACATTTTCAAAATTAGTTTTTTCTTAATAGACGACAGATCACATGCCAAACAAAATTAAAACTTGAATGAAAATATCACCTTTAAGAAACCTGCCCAGGCTGCAAATACACATGTATCAAGGTACCACCAATCCGTCCATCATCACATGCCAACCGCGAGTTGCATCGCGTTAGGTAAGCCCGCTTCTATGCGCCTCCTCAGCGGAAAAAAGAGGTCCCGTCGGCGCGCTCGGTCACTCGGTGGGCATCGGAAATAAGGCTCCTCTCTCTCTCGCTGTTTTTCCGTCATCATACGTTATCCATCATTATCAGATCCACGCACAAGCACATCCATCCCCTGTCCTCTCCGCGGAACCCTCCCCGGATGCAACCGAGCGAGCGAGCACCTGCCACAACACGCGACAACAGCCCACTTGGGCAGCCAAATACGAGTTTACTGAACCTAAAATACGGAAGAGAGTCTGTTAAGGAAAATCAGGCCGGAAGTTTCCTATATGGATGATGGTTTTATGGCGGGTTTGTTGCACTGTACGGCTGGATCACGTGCGTAGGATAGGGATGTGGGGAGGTGAGGTGAGTTGAGCTAGACGACGTCGTGGAAGCATAAACTCAACTAAGCCAAGTACCACCAACGGCTAAGAGATACCAAAGTTACCCCTTTAAAAACATTATCCACATTCACATCCACGTCTCCTATCTCCGTCCCTGTCCACATCCCTTACACGTTGATCACAACCAACCTACCGGTGTAGTCTCCGTCCCCGTCTCCGCGTGCCGTCGTCAATCAGTCAATCCAATCCGCTAAACGAAACTGATTAACAAGACTATCCCGCATTTATACCGCGACAAGCGAGCCCGTAAGGCGAACAAAACGACGATCACCATTTATTTGTAGGGACGTGGGTAGGGGAAAAGGTTGGTTGCAGGTTCCGTGCATTACAAACAAGCTTTCTGGCAGGGAGAGAGATATGGAAAGTAAATACGAATGCCGGTGTTAAGTGGCAGCGTGGAAAGGGTCGGCAGATGACAAGTATCATGTAAACTACCACCAAAAAAAAGTATTCACAACCCTTCATCTATAGTACCCTTTATCGTCATCGTCATCGTCATCAGTCTCATCACATCACATCACACACCGGCAGTTATGCGCAAAACAAAAAAGAAAAAGCACACGTGTCAGAAAACGCGCCAATCCATGCATGGCGAACCACAGTCCCGGGATGATAATTCTTATTATTCTTGTTTGTTGGAGCGACCGAGTGCGACGCGCGCACGCACACGGCAGCTAGAGACGGAGATGACCTGGCCCGGAACATAAGCCGAACGAATCAACCAACCAACAACCAAAAAAACAATGCATAAACATTAAAAAAAAACAGCTCATGTGGGGAAATGAGATTTGCGAAACATCATCGCAAAATAAGTTTACGACACGACATAACTCCCTTGGGGAAAACTGTAACCCGTTCTTCTCTCGCACACAAACACACTTTCTCTCTATCCCCGTTATATCGTTGAGCTCCCGACTCAATAGGGGACGATACATGACTGAATACACTTTTTTTGTCCTAACCTTGCCTGAGGAAAAGAGGCCTTCTTTCCCATGCCATCTGAACCGTTGGGGTATAAATCGACTCCGTAAAGCGCCGCCCTACACCCATGTTGCTAGTTGAGAAGAAAGCAAAGCAAACCATGCCAAAAAATATCGCAAAGAGACCATGTCATAACAATGTTTTGATGCTGAAATGTCGTAAAACACAGTCGAAGGTAATTAGTACCGTCGTCGGTGGACCCAGCTAGTCTTTTGTCCACGAATCAAGTCAACCAGCGCGCCTAGCCATCCGTCGGTATAGTAGCAGAAAGAGCTAGACTTGCGAGCTCTTTGCGCCGAAGAAATAAAAAAACGATGACGCTGCGAAATTGTAATGCGCGAAGAATGGAAGCCTGTACAATAGCTGGCTCAACACCTTTGAGTCCAGGTGATGATAAGCGAGAAAGGAACAAACCTGTCTATCAGCGATGCGAGTGATCGTAGGATCGCATACCAGCATATTCAACACCCTGCATCGGGGTTGTATGCTGTGATCCCCACTGAGCCTGTGCTTGTGGTTGCGGTTGCGCGTGCGCTTGTTGTTGGTTTTGCAATGGCGGCAGAACGTTGTTGCTAGGCGCTCGAGGTGCAGCGTGACCCTGTGCATGACCCTGCTGTGCGAGACTAGCAGTAAATGTTCCGTAGATGTGAGGATGGTTCGGGTCAAGGCGGTTGAGAGCAGTCCATAGAGCAGTCACTTCTTGGCGTAGTGATTCCGTCTCATGATGTGCCTGCTGCCCCTGGGGCATCCGTCGAGCTGTATCCGCCTCGAGCTGCAATCGGTTCAAATCCTTACGCAAGTTGTGGTTCGAAGTATTGATCATCTTGATGTGTTCAATGGCTAGTGGCACGTTAGAGGTGTAGATGATAAACTGAGACGTAACTTACACTTGGTCAAAACTTCCCACTTGCTCGACTTGTTACCTGGAGAGTTGGGAAGTATTGCGTTAAGATCATCAAACAAGTTCTTCATCTCGCTCCTGCGTTTTCTTTCGGCCATTTTGTGACTGACGCGCAGCTCGGGTGTCCGGCTGTAGCTTCCAGTTCCAGGAGGTAATGGGCTGGTTTGGTCCATGCTTTGCAGGCTTGTAACACTACGGTGTTGCATCGAGTGATGATGAGTGCTCGGGATATCTGTGCTAGTTAGCAAGTGCGTCGAAGTAAATGTACAGGAGTGTGCGTGCCATCGTGCAGTTGTTCTTGACCATAGGGTAGCTTGGATTCAGGTGTATGTATGCTACTGTTGATCGACGTGGCAAAGCTATTCTGGCGCGAAGGAACATTGGAGCGAGTAATGCTAGACTCACCACTGGTTGATGTCTGCGCTACTGGGCCATTGTACTCTGCCTGTGCTGGGAGGACATCAGGCTGATCGGGAAAAGCCCATGGAAATCCGGGCGTCGGAGCTGAAGCCGTGGGGTCTGGCATGCCAGATACGCTCCTGGGGTTAGGGGTAATGACAGGAGCGCGTCGCGGGGGGTGCTGGGCACGCGAACCGCTGCGGCTTGGAGACAAAGGAGAAGTGCCATTGGGTCGCACTTCGGGATTTGCGATGCCTCGTTGCTGCTGCAGGTTTGAGACAAGCGAGACTCGGGATGGGTTCTGACTGTCGTAAGGTGACTGTGGGTGGAGGCTAAGATGGCCCATGCCAACATTAACCCGGCTATCCACGCTGCTGCGTCTAGAGTCGAAATGCGAGCCTGCATCAATACTGAGCCGGGTGTCAAAGCCATGATTGAGCGACGGCAAAGCATTGTTCTGCTATCGGGTTAGAGGATATCATGGTAGCATGACGCGGTGAGGTACTGAAAGGCCTGTGATAGACCAGAAGGATACCTCGCTGACGACGGCGTATCCGGTATCGAGTTACGGGATGGCGACGAGTCGTCAGAGGGGTTCAAAAGGGTACAAACCTGGAGACCCATGTGTTGAGAAATTGTAGATGAGTCTGGATTATTTGTTAGGGGTGGGCGAAAATAGTTGATGAGGATGGATACTTGCGTTTGCTTGGGGCAACGCTCGGTGCAATGGACCAGTTGCCCGAGTCGCGAACCTCACGAGCCTCGGAATGTTGTCTGACATGCGGCGGACTTGGCTCCGATGCTGGGAGGCTATGGGTAAGCGACGACAAGGGCGGTAGCGACTGCTGGCCTTGAGACACATTGACAAGCGACACGCCATTGCCATGAGGCGCTCGCTGATGCGTCGCAGAATCCATGACAGCACGCTTCATGCAGTCGAAAGCTGACTGCGTCAAGTAGTCGTGTCGTGGGGGTAGAATATGGTAGCGAAATCAGGTGCCTGGAGCGGGCACGGGGTTGGGTACTGGAGCAACAGCCAATGAGGCGACAGATGAGTGAGTAGTGGTTCGGTACAAGTGCGGAGAAGGAGCCAGCAGATGTTATTGGGAATAGAGTTTTGAATTGCGGGGCGGAAGAATGGCAGCGGCGTGTGGTGATGCTGTCAGAGGGATGCAGGGTGGGAAGTTTGTCGAGAGCTTGGGGCGAACAGGCACGGGATATGGAGGGCTCCTCCCGCAACGAGAGATGATGGCAGTTTGTGAAGTGGGGCACGAGGAATTTCCGCCAAGACCGGGTCAAGACCAAAGGGCAAGTGCAATGCGGGCAGCGGCGAGGGAGGGAGAAATTGACGCCAAAGGCAGGCGTCGAGTGCCGTCAATTGCCAGGCAGATGCTGGCGGGCGATGATGACGGGTAGACTGGTTGCAGCGGGCAGCAGCAAAACCAGGCCAGACAAAAAGAAAGCAGTGCCGCCGGTGCTATTCTTCGAGAGGCCGGTGGGTACTCGTGGCCAAAGGAGACGAGGCTGCAGTAGCTGCAATTGTTTGCAGACACAACCAAGCTACACTGATCAGCCCAATTGGTACACGGGTACACAAGCTTGAGATTTGGGGATCTGGGATGGACACGAGGCGGCGTAGTCAGGACCGGATGCAGCACCAAGGCGGGCGACGACGCGAGGCGTCCTGGCTGGCGGTGGAGAAGATGATGGCGTAGATGGAAGAAGAGAGTGTCGTTATCGTTGTCGTCGTGGTGTGCTACAACGACGTGTGAGGTCAGACTAGGCTCCCCAGAAGTGAGGTGTGGTGAGGCGCAACAAGGCGGCGGCCAAGGAGATTCTGGCTAGTATGGTCAAAGTTTGCGGCGCGGCGGAATAAAACGAGAGAGAGAGAGAGAGAGAGAGAGTTAGGCACGCAGCGACTTGGTCATGTCGTGTCGAGGAATGGGAGAGTAAGAATCGAGTGTGGAGGGACAGCGGACAGGGCTTGTGGGCGTTGCAACGGGCTGAATGAGGTCAGTCGTGTGCCTTGCATAGACGGCCCCAGGCAGTTCCTTGGGCGCACAAGAAAGCAGCGGGCAGCCGGCGGTCTGGACGGCGTGTGCGACTTTCGGAAGGGACGTGTTTAGGGTGGAGGAGATGATGAGCGGAAAGCAAAGGGCTTTGACCCAAAGACGTTGGAGCAGGAAAGGGTGCGGTTGCGTCGAGTCGGACTCGCAAGTCCAAGGCATGGGGGGAAGGGCAGCCAATTGTGGGCGGCGGTAGTGCCCAGCTGCTGAGCCGGCCACACGTGGGAAATCGTTCAATCGAGGCCTCGTGTATCTCAGCATGCCGTTTAGCGGCGGCTAGCTGCACACTCGACTTGCCCTCCCTGCCTGGGCGCGAACTGGTGCCCACTGTCACGAATGACGATACTAGACAGGCGCAGCAACTATGCAATAGACAAGACTACCGTACGCAAGACTGAGGCTACTTTCTTTACACCAACCGCTCATTCTGTCCATGTCCATGGCGGCCTGGCTTATTCAACCACCAACGAACATGGCTGGGCCTGGTAGATGGACCTCCCTTTAGCCAAACCCGTCGTGCTATCCCGCCGCGCCCGCTGTACCGCCACGAGGCCCACTAAGCCCTCCGCGGCTGCCACCCAACCGGCGAAAGCGCCGAGTTAGCAGCGTGCAGCTAACCAGGCAGAAAGTCTGCGACGCTGGGGTCGAGTGGCGATCCCCTCATGGCCAGCTGTAGCGCGCCTCCACGCTTGAAGAGCTGCAGCTCGTTGCCGGCATGAGGTGCAGTAGTGGTAGTGGTAGCACCGCTACATGTCTGCCCTAGGCCGTGCCCTATGCCAAACAAACATGGCAATGCCCATACTTGGCCGGCGCCCCTCACCATGACCACCACCTACCGACCTGTGTCCACGTTTTTCCGCCAGCGACAGCCTCAAGCCAGACTAACACCCCCCTGCCTTCCCGCTTCGTGTATTTATCCCGCCCCGACCAGTCCCAAGACCCAGCGCCTCTTAAAGGGCCATGCCAATCATCCGGCCCGGCACCGAATATGTGATACAAGTCCTCTACCTATTTCGCTGCACTGGTAAGAGATGCACCCCTTGTTACAAGCTCCCGCTTGACCGTTACATCCAATTTCTCCCACCTTGGAATCCGTCGCCGTCATATGCATCTCTGCATCTGCAATCAATGCACCTGATGCTTGAACCCTTGGGGCCCGCGTCGATCCATCCAGTGCTCGAGTGACACGGGGCATCATGTGAGCACCGACCTGGAAATCACCACTCGACGACGCATCTACACGCACCTAAACACCATACAAGTCAAGACTGCATGCATGCCCACTCAGACGCTCTTTTTCATCTTCTGCCGCCAAAACGACATGTTCCGACTCCCTAGTACCTGCATGACGACTTCCCTGATCACAATCCTAGCACCTACCCAAAGTGAACAACGTGCTTTCCTTGTTCCAACTTCACCATCCTAGTCTGACTGCCCCGTATTCAACCATGAAATCATCAGCCCATAGTCCATGCCTCATCCATGCCTCATCCACGCCTCCACGCCTTGGGACAAAGAACTGACCCCGCTTCCAAGTCTGACCTGACCCGTAGTTCCTCTATCGCTGCCCCGTCGCCAGAGGGCGTCGTCTAGTGCCATGATTGGGTTTCACAAGAGAAATAACTGCCCAGCTATCAATCCCTGGATATCACCCAAATCAATTTTAGCAAATGGCTTGTTTGTCATCACGATGCTTTGAATCAGTGTCACCCTCTCGGTTCAAGCCGACCAAGATACTTTATCCCACATGGCCGTGTCGCTGTCTCCTCGCATTGTACTCGACCGCATGGTACTACCACACGCAGTCCCAACAACCAGGCTCATACACATAACGGCCTTGTGTCAGGTGCCAATGCATGTTTCGTGCACAGCCAGTACTCCAGTTGGCGCAACCTGGGCTTGCGCGCTGGCTCTGGTACCCCACAAGACGCGGCGTGCTCAACTCAACCACAGATGGTGTTAGTGGCTTCGACTGCGCTCAGACACTTTGCTTTGCTCTTTATGCCATCTCGTGTTTCCATGGTTGCCCTCCGCGTCCGAAATCGGGTGGCTTGATCAAGAGCACAGCATCACTAGGTTGTAAGAGATATACCATCTACCACACACTGCTGTGTATATAGAGCTGCATAGGCGTGCTTTTAGGCCGATGCTGGCGTCATGCCGGAAAGCCTACTTCGGACCCTGCCTTTTATTTCCGATTTCCGATCCAAGCCACCGACTTACCTGCAGCATCGAAGGTGCATTCCTTCAAGTCGCACACGCGCGACACGTTATCAGTGTGTCAATTCCACTCAAGACAGGCGTCGAATGCGAGCTTGTACGCCGACGCGTCAACCTGCCAGCAGCTGGTACCCGTTCATACGTGCAACTGTTGGGCGCTGGCCGTGTGACACATCTGCAATACTCTTCCAGGCAGGTCGTTAGGCGCTGAGAAGTGCTTGCAAAATAACACCAGTCGGCACACCTCCCGCCTCTCCTCTGTAATCCGTCGCCATTAAACGTTCCAGTGACATGTTCCGAAGATCTCAACCTTATCGGGCTCCTCGCCCACCGGAGCAGGTGAGCCATATGTGTTCAGTGAGACATGTGCCCGCCTAGGCCTGTATCCTGTCTCTACATGCTTGCTCGTGGTAACACTGACATGCATGACCTCTACATAGAGCAACACAACTGTGGTCCCGTAACTGAACGGCGACATATACCTGTAATCGACGGAACCGCATCGCTTTTGTAGCGCTGACTCCGGAATGAAGTAACACAGCGCCCAAGTGGGCCCTGATGCGCAGATGTGCTTGCTGAACGGAGACTTTTCCTGATGCGGTGCGACAATCAAAGTGGAATCCTTCTTCCCAGACTGCTTTAGGACAGTCTGGATGCAATCCATACCTGGATGACATGTTTTTGAATGACGCTTACCTCACACTTCCAACACGAGGAAAAAGACACGCAATCGCCTTTACCATATCCAACCTGTGTCCGAGGCCGCTTTTCACGGCCCTGACTTGCGACCCGAGTGCGTGGAACGCTACAAAGCGTGGTTCAAAAGTCATTACAGACAGCATAGTAATCGGCCCGTCCTTCCAAGATTGGTGGTTGAGTGCCTGCCTGATTTAGCGTCGCTAAGGCCGTGTGCGAATTGCGCCGCGGTTGATCTCACGTGAAGATCGCATCGGCGGGACCGGGGCAGCTTGGCGACGTGCCTGCGGGGCAAAGCGAGGCCTTGGTCCGCAACACGAAATCTACGCGTGCACTGGAACAGGCGAGATGAGTACCGCTGAAACGTACCAAGACGAGCAAGTCCTCCCGCAGGACGTGCTACCGAAGCACTCGGTCTTTCCGTTTCTCCACCTTCCGCGGGAGCTCCGAGATCAGGTATGCGCCTGAACAATTCACTCGAGGCAACCAGAGTGCTGACTGTCATGTAGATATACGACTATGCATTTGCTATTCAAGATCACCATGGCCAGCGTCCTATTGAGCGGCGTAACTTGAAAATCTTCAAGCCCAGCGCTGCTTCCATCCTGCTCGTGACCCGGCACGACTACTTCCTGCTCAACCGCCAAGTCGCCCGTGAAGCGCTCGAAGTCCTCTTCAAACACCATACTGTCTTCCTCAGCAGCGGTCCCTTTGTCCTCAAGGCAATACTTGAAAAGATTGAAGAACCGAATGGACCTAGTAGGCAATGGCTGAAGTGGCTGCGCAAGATCGAACTGGACTGGGTGACGTTCCCTTCACTCCAGCACTACCCACCTGAGATGGGCAAATGGAGAGATGATTCGCACTGGGAGCATGACACGGCCGAAGTCGACGTCGACTACATACGAGGCGCATACTACAACGGCCACTACGACGAATACGACCACGAAGGCGTCCACTACGAAGACAACTTCTACGACCCTGGCAACTCATCTCTCTACCCTTCCTTCCGCCCATCCACGACAGCTACAGCACAAACATCAGACGACCCCTTTGGCTTCGCAACCCACTACCCCTTCACAGACCCAACCCGCGACCCCGTCCACGAAGCCTCAGCAGCAGACATATCCTCCAAGCTCAACCTACTCGTCTCCTCAGAAGTCACCCCTCTATTCACATACCTCGCCTCCCCCACTTTCAACCTCCACAGCATCACCCTCCCGCTAGCCTTCATCTCCCGCGAATCCCACTACCAGCGCAGCGTATCCCGCCCGGGTTACGCACTTCCCCTGAAAATCCGCTACTGGGTCAAAGTCTGTGCGCATGCCCTCCTCATGCTCATCTCGCCTACACATGATGCAGCAACAAAGCCGCCTCTCGAAGAGGTAAGAGTGAAATACGCACCATCAGATATCTGGGCCAGCATGGAACCCGCAGACGACTTGCGCCGTATGGTGACGGCAGGTGTGTGGTTCGATGATGATGATGATGATGATGATGATGACGAGGATGGCGGTGATAGGCAAGGAGAGGGCGAGGCGTTTCGCGCCATGTGGGATAGTGTGCATGCGAGTTTATCGCAGCAGCAGCTTGCGAGTCTAGGACCTCGTTTTGGTCTCAAGGCAAAAGTTGACTTTGTGGCTTGGGATGGGAATATGGACAGTGGGAGGTTGGGGGATGAGCTGGAGGTTGTGTTTAGTAGGGATGTGACAGCTCAGGTGTAGGTGGGTTTAGTTGGGTGGGAGTAGGGGTGAGAGTGTTGGTTGGTAGGGTTGTGATTTGCTGATCTGCATCCTTCATCGTGCACTCTATTCACTCCAAGCAAAAGTTTTGACGAACCATATAGTATAGCCCAATATGAATAAAGTAAATAGACCGAAATAGCAAATATCCAGCGTATCATTCAGCTTCAGAATCCTCCCTTGGATGTACGAACACATCATCCCACCCCGCCGCTTGATCAACAAGGCAGTTAAGTTATCAGTCGTTCGACGGGGTTGAGTGCGCAACTCTTTTTCAATGCGCCGCGTCCTTCACCTATTATACTTTTCAACCCAAGCAACAATCAAAGACCTCAACTGTCAATTCAGAAGGAAAATTCATAACCATCAATCGATTCTCCAACCTATAGTTTCAACTATCCCATCCCATGCTGCTGATGCTGGCATTGCTTCTACCAACAGACCCAAGCCTCCAAACACAAGATTTTCAAGAAAAAAAAACACAGACAAGAAGGAAGAAAAGAGAAACTAATTATACAAGATGTAGTAAACAAGAAGAAACAACCATCCTGAGAGATGCGTTCCCTCGTTCCCAAAGACAACAGGTCGAAATCGGATACCCCATTCACGAGCTCATTCATCGCTCATCCTGCTATAATCAAAAACAGGTGTGTAGAAAAGCGTGTCTGGCATACAATCCAACTTATTCAAAGCTGGTACAGGGAGAAAAGGGGTTTTGTTTCAAAAGTCCCAGAAAGACTTATCAGCACCTTTCTTCCCACCCATACCATCGCCTTCCGTCTTGATACCCTGTCTCGCACCCGTGTTCTGGTTCTCCTTCTTTGCAGGACTCTCATCATACAGCGACCACGCTGCCTCAGTGCCCTTGCGGCCACCCATACCGTTACCCGCGATATTGATACCGCGGTTCTCAGGCGAGTCCTGGTGGGTACCCCAGTGCGTCTTCATCGAGTTGCGCGTCTGGGTAGCAGCAGCAGCGCCGTTTTTGCCAGCGCTGGGGCTGTTGTCCGTCATATCGAACTGCGAGGCAAAGTGCTTTGAGCGGCCCTCGTTGACGGCGGCTGTGACGTCGCTGAGGGCAGACTTGACGTCGCCTTTTGAGGCGTGGTCGTCGGCGTCGTTCGTTGTGTTGTTGACGTGGTCTTCGTAGAGACCTTGGCCGCGGTTGCTGCGCCCGCCTTTTGTAGGGTGTTGGCGCTGCGACTCGGGTGTGCCGTCGTCGACAAAGTCAAAGTGGGCGTCGGCGTCTGGGCGCGCCTTGTGGACTACGGGGCGGCGAACGGGTGACTCGTCCTGTGAAGAATGCCATGTCAGCGTACGGTTCAGAAGCACTTTCAGAGACAGAAGAGCAACGTCGGTCCCTGGTTGATGGAAAGGACTAACCTCATCATCGCTCCAGCCAAAGTGTCTAACGGCTTGGGGGTGTGTCTTGGGTTTGGATTTGTTTGGGGTGGCAAAGTCGTCAAAGTCCCAATGCGCGTCGTTTCGGTTGCGGTGCTGATCATGCCTGGTAGGGCGCGAAGTGTCACGTACCTTTGGAGTCTCCTCGCCTTCGCCAAATGTGAAGTGGTCATACTTCTTTGAGCTAGTCTTGATGCTCATGGGCGCACGATCGGCCGAGTGGTCATCCTCGTCCTCAAACAGGCGGTTGTTCTTGAAGTTCTTTGCGCTACCTGCCTTTGTCGGGATCCTCTCAGAGGGTGAGGGTGAGCCTCCATCGGCGCCAACGAACAGCTCGGAGTACTCGCGTGGAGGGGGCTTCGCAGACAGTGAGCGCGGCACCGAAGGCTGCGACGAGGTGCGAGAGACGCGGTCCTCGTCGTCCTCGTCAATCTCGCGAGGCTGGAACAATGAGAGCGACGCGTGCGGGTCGTTCATAGCATTGTTGGTGGAGCGCCTCGAGCGCGAGGAAATAGACACCTCATCGACGCCTCGCGATGCCGCTGTCGATGGACGTGAAGGCGATGCTTCTGGCTGGTTAGCCGCAGCAACAGCGGCATTTGACGTGATCAAGCGGATTTGTTCGCTGCCGTCGCGGATAGGCCAATTGCGCGAGCGCGCGCCGATGACGTCGATCTGCTTCAGGAGAGAGCCCTGGTCCCAATATTGGCGGATCTGTGTGATCTTTCCAGCTCTATCAAAACGGACCATGTGGACCTGTCAGTGTCAGTCAACGGCCCCTACAACAGCTAAACAAACTATAATCACCATTGCAAACGTCACTGTTCGATCTGCCACGAAGTTGTCATCTAGGCCTGGCAGGTATGCGCCGCCGCCGTTACTGAACTCGATTGTCGTCTCTACATCGACGCTGAGGCCGTGGTTGCCCTCAATGGCGTCCAGGATCTTCTGCTTCGTCTTCTTAAGCAGCTTCTCCTGAACAGCCAAGTGCTTGATGATTGCTGTCGCGTCGGTGATGCTGGTCGTGGTCGAGACGTAGTGCAGCGTTGCATGGTCAGCCAGCGCGCCCGTAGACGGCGTGGCCAGAAACCTCGAATATGTGTCGCAGAGCGTCATTGCGCCGTGTATATTAGCTGTTAATGCTAACAGCTGTGGTGCGTAGGGATACTGGTCGCGAGTGTAGTGGGTAGAGCGGGGTGTTTGTGGTTGGGTCGATTGGAGCTGTCGAGAGTAAACAAATAGTTCGCGTGTGCGCGTCCAACTATTTTCTCAACGCGGTGGGGAAGGTGAAAGGGGAGATCATAACATTGACGTCGGCAGGCTCCCGCAGGAGCCCCCGGCCTTTCATCAGAACTGTCTTGGTCTGGTTGTTGACGCAGGGGCATTCCCGCTGTTGCAGACACGCCCCACCTCGATCAGCCACAAGAATGGAGCCGCGCTGCGGAGACCAACGCGAGGACACTGTCATGCAGCTAGCTAACGGTAACGCTCCCGAGATCTATTTTCACGCCTATATTTCGCTTCACCTACTTCCTGGCGTCTTCCAAGCGACCTACGTAGCGTTGAGGTGGTCTCATTTGCTTATCCCGTATTGCCCTCAACGGCGTGTTTCAGAAATTCGAAATTCGTCCCGGGCCCGTCAGACACTGGGCGCATTATCTTTCACTTCCATTCCAGTAATATCGGAAATAACTGCTAAATACGGCTTTGTGTCATGGCCGTTCTGAGTCAATAGCAACCATGGGTCATGCGCCGTCTAATCGTTCGGCAGAATAGTACAGCCACGTCTCAAGATACGCCATACTGTACTACGCTGTGAGGGAAAGTATGAACTATTTTCTCTCTGTCAGGCGTATACAGTGGAATATCAATCAGTTCACCTGAAGCTTTAGAAAAATGTATACCGCAGTGCATGCGATCTTTGGTCATGTATTAAATCCACGAAGCACAAAACTCTGGTGCCACGTGCTTCTGACATTATATCTATGAGCCACGGTGCACTTCGATATAGTCACACTTTTCTGGACCACTTCGTTTCTCTGGTATGATTATTCTTGTTATCGCCGCTGCTATTGGGTACGTCATCGGGAACGGAACTCTCCAACTTAATATACTCTCAACCATGGTTCACGAGTGGAATGCTTTTTCGATCAGTATATATACCTCTATCGTTTTATGCAACATGAACTCACCTAGCTTCGTATCCAACGTTCTTACTACGCAGTTCCCGAATCCTCGAAAATCCCAAAAAGAACTTGGTCCTGGAACCATCTACCAACACTCTCAAGTACTCAAAAAGTAAACAGGTTCTTACGCAAGATCTTCTACCAGAACAAGATGGGAAACGGAGGCTCCAAACCTCAGACGAGTGGTGTTCGCCTGTTGAACGATCGCCTCTTGAATGCAATGCCATACACACAAGCAGCCCAACGGATATTCAAGCAAAACCGTACAGCCTGTCCACTCCTCAACCTTCCGTCCGAGATACAAAGCCGCATTTTCGCAGAAGCATTAGGTGGCTATCTCATCATGTTTAGTGTAAGAAGAACCGCCCAGCGAGGACCAATTCCGCTGTCGTTCGATGAGGTGGATGGTGGTTTAAGAGCCATTCTCATGATCAAGGTATCGGCCTTGAACTGCAGGTATAGGACCTCCATATCGAGCCCTTTCGTCTCCCTTCAACAAACCTGCCGACAAATCTACATGCAAACCGCTCTTGTTCCGTTTTCTCATATCAACGACTTTTGGTTCTCTGAAGATCTTGCCTTGCGCATGATGTCATGGCGGATGAAGTCAGTACACTTCCGTTCCATCGCCAAGGTTGTCTTTACGGTTCGCGAGAAGGTGGGAGAACCGTCAGAGTTTGGAGGTTTTGACTTGGAAAGACTCAGTAGCTTGTCACTGCTCCAAGGGTTAAAGCATGTCCAAGTCTTGATACATTTCGCCGGTGGTGACCGGTGTAGAAATGCTGTGATTATGCCTGAATGGGTAAGAGATGATGCACTACAACGGATCGGGCAGTCTTTGGGGAGGGAAATCAAAGCCGCAGCACCAAAGGGTGTCAAGCTAATTTTTGAGATGAGAGAGCAGGAAGCACAGGAGTGGGTAGATCCAGAGGATTTGAAGAGGCGGAAAGAAGTTATCAAGGCAATGATTGAGACATAGATCAACACCTCGCACGTTGCCTATCAACACGAGGTAAGCAGTGGAATAGCCTGCACTCTAAAATAAAATTACTCCAACGAGTTTCGCGCTCACCACCCCTGTCTAGTTCGTTTCACCACCACCATCCGTAAATTCCCATTTGCGGAACTTTGCGTATTACGTGGTACGCGTATGTGGATTTCAGCAGTCCTGCTCATGTACGCAAGGACTATGGTGTGATCTAGATGAAAGCTTTGGATCGGTTAATTGGTGTATAACCAGAAGCAATCATACATACTAGAAAGTATCTAAAGGACCACGACTTGCAAACCCACAGAAACATTGCTACTTTCAAATTCACCAACTGTTGCTAAACAATACATAACTTTACAATCGTTAAGTGAACCAATAATAATGTTCACCAAATACACCATCCCCACGCTCTTCACCCTCCTAACAACCATAACCGCAACACTCGACCCAGCTACCTCCCACACAAACAGCAGCTACCCCACTGCCCCAAAATGTGCTCGTACGTCCACTCCACCTTTCCATGTTCTCCCTCTCATTCACCTTCTAACACGCACCCAGCCATAAAAACCAGCCGTGCAATCCAAGCCTCCGAATGCAGCCACAACACCCGCACATCCGCCCAAACCTTTGCTGTCTTCACCCAAGACCACAAATACGACTCCTCGCACGGCGCCCCTTACGGCACCTGCGAAGCGTACAACTGCTCGCCTGGAACAGCCATGAAGAGCAAACAAGACATTTGGACCTTCTTTTGGGACAAAGCGGGTGTCAAAGGACAGGAGCCTGGGGAGGGCATGGGATGTATCAAGAGTCCGGTGGATGGGACGTGTGGGTGTGAGAATTCCAATGGAAAGTTTGTGTATGGGGGGAGTGATTGTGTTTGAGGAGATGGAGGGAGTGGAATTGTATGTAGAAGGCTGGAAGCATTCAAGGGCGTTTCGATACGCAAGTGCATGGGTTTTGGGGCGGTGTATGCCGTATTCTGATTTCATTGTACATATAGTTAAGATAAGAATAAAATCAAAAGGGGAAAAAGTCTTAATCTGAATGCTCCGAATCCTCGTCCACGTCCTCGTATTCATCTGTTTTCTCATCTTCATGCTCTCGCCGGTCCCGCTGTCGCTTGTTGCCGATGCTGATCTGCTCTGCTACTGCGTATAGGAGCGTATATGGATCCGCCTGCCCGTCAAGCGCTGGGTCTGAGTTTTCCATCAAGAGCTCGTATCCTGGTCCTAGTTCTTGTACGAATACTCACATTTGGTCGCGGGGGACGTATTTGCCTGTTGCGCCCCAGAGCCATGTTCCCAGCTGGGCCTTGGGCGTTGCTGTATTGTAGTTGGTTATGTGCCAAACTCGTCTTAGAATGTGGCAGCAGTAACGGAAGAACAGGTAGCGTTCTGCGGGCCGGGAAGGAGTTGGGAATTTGAGTTTCCAATCGTTTAGATCTCTGAGTTCGACACTGAGGATGATATCTTCGTCGCCATTGCAGTAAATATCAAAAGGTATGTCACACATATCAGGCTGACCGTTATCAAATATCCTGACCTTGTACTCGCGAAAACTCTGGCTCTGCCACAATACCACCTCTATCTTTGAAGTTGGATCGTCGATATCTGGTACAATTGCCAAAATACCGCCTTCGAACGCATCTTCGCATGTAATCCCCATGAGAAGCCCGTTTAATGCGGAGAATAGGTCTTCTGATGCCTTTGGGCCGAATATAGCGGTCATTGTAGTTTGATTGTATTTCCGGGAGAAGAGCTGTGTTGTTTCAAGGTAACATCCACCTATGTACCGGTTTGAGACGATGTCCCAAATACAATTGTTGGATGTAGGACATTGCATGTTATAATGGTCTGTAATCTTGCCCCTGAATTCTGACATTAACTTTGGGTCTCGTCGTTCTGCCATTATCGCTGTATTGTTTATTCCGAGAGTAGGGTATGCAAAGGGAGTGTTCTGAGCAGGTTCGAAGTCTGTAGCCCGGTGCTTGTAAATCCTTGCTTTGATTTCCCAAACCCTTGCATCCTCTTCCATCAAAAACGTAGCGACATTGTGCTCGCAGGGAGACTTTCGTAGAGTACAAATTTCATCTGCGATACACGTGTTTGCCAGAATCTGGAGTCCTGATTCTGTTCGTTGTTTTGCATATGAAGCCATCTCAGAGGCATGTTTCCAGTAGTTGGAATCAAATTCATTCATGCGTTTTAGTCCCTTTCTTTTCTTGTCGAACCCTATTCCTGCAAAGATGAAATCTCTGGAAAGTATCCAGCTATCGGAATCTGCCATAATTACCGTACAAATGCTGTTGATCTTGTCCGTAGAATAGTGGTCAACTCTGCAAACTGCAAAACGTTTGAATTATATTCAGTCCAAAGTTGCAGAGATTTTTAATCCAAGTCTGATCAATGGTTCAGTGCGCACTACTGCTCGAGCAACCATAGTTTTGTTTTTGATTGGGCCAATAACAAGATCCTATTTGAGCGAATCTTCGTGGTTCAGCCATTGCGTACGATCCGATTTGCTCCATTATGACATCATGCCGTCCAAAAAATGACACTCCTGGAGGTACTCACGGAGTTCTACCTGGATACCTACGCAGTGGTACTGCGCTTATATACGCCACGCATGCGTATTCTCCCTACATACACTAAACATAAAGCCCTCGTATACGTTCAGAAGCAAGCTATCACCGGCACCTTACCAGCTATGATGCTATCCTTTGTCCATAGCCTGAACCTCCATTTCATGCCCGAGATTGTAAACATTCACGGCATACGTGGACATCTCTTGCACTAGAGAACATGCCTGCATTATGAAAGATTTACACTATCATTACTCGTTCATGCCTTATCGAGCTTGAGCGTCATTACCATACAATACGAACACCGAAAAAAACACCGACCACCTAACAACCCCAACATCCACCCGGCTGTGTTCCGGTACCCCACAAGAGCCATCCCTTTCGGGCGGCTGGAACTCGATGGGGTTCCTTCATTCAAGCCAGGGTGGAGGCAGTAGAACTATCCCAAAACGCCGCCTAAATGCAGAAACCAAAAACAAGGGGGTATCAAACGCCAAATAACAATGCTGGGCAATCGTTTCCGTTCAAAGGCGCTACCTGGGGCGGGCGCTACGCGCAGTAGGCTTTCGGACGTTGGCGGCATTGGTTTTTGGCGATAACACATGGGCAGCAGCAGAAGGCTTGGTTCGGGAGGCAGCACGGGTTGACCGTACGGTGGCGGTAGGCGCAGCAGGCTTCTGGGTAAGAGTCCTTGTGCGCTTCTTGGGTATTGGAAGGTCGGTATTCTCCTTATCTTCACCAGCCTTGTCCTCCCCAGACATTTCGTCACTGCTGCGCTTCTTGGCTCGAGTGTTCTTTGTTGCCTTGGCATATGCGGGAGTTGGCTTGGTTGCTTTGGTGGCAGTTTTGACGCGTTCCTCTTGAACGGATGCAGGCCTTGAAGAGGGACCAGTGGTGGGGGCAGTGCGCGCCTTGCGTGTGGCAGTCGCAGTTGCCTTCTTGGTGGGCGCAGGCTTTGCTGGAGGAGCAGCGACGACGACAGGTGGCGCTGGAGCGGACGCCTTAAGAAGTTGGAGAAGTGTGGTTTGGCGCGTCACGACTGGGATGCGGTTGACGCGTCGCTCAAGGCGCGACTGCATGCTCGCACACTGCGCGTCGCACTGCGCTCGCAACTTCTCTGTCCGTGAGTCGATTTCGATTTGTAGGTTTGCAAGCATATTGGCCTTGGCCTCAGCTGTGATACCGTCGGTAATGTTGTTCATCATGGCGTTGCTATAGCAGAGGACG